TCCGATTCATAACAGTAGCAAAATGACAGTGATGAAGTAGCAATGAAAGTAACTTTATGGTTGGAGGTCACCACAACATGAGGAACTGTATTAAAGGGTCACGGCATTAGGAAGATTGAGAACCACCGCTTTAGTGCAAGGTAAGATGAGGAGATTTTTTAAATGATTTAAACACTACAACTGTAGCAAGTGGAGATGACGGTGATGAAGAATTTGTAGGGGGTTGTGATACAGGTATCTAAAGAACTGCATCAGGGTCACAGGATATTTTCAAGGTGAACGTAAATTTAGGCAACATTAAAGGACAGGTATGAATTGTGCATAAGTCTAACGGGGACTCTCTGGACCTAACTATTATAATGCTGTACATATTTATATTCATATGGACATGAAAAGCTAGATTTCATTTTATTAATAAGTCAACACTTATGAAGCACTTTCTAGATACTCTCCTGTCCGTATACAAATTAGCTTATACAATTCTCACCCCAACCCTAACAGATAGGTTCCATCAGCATTTGAGAATGAGGAAACTGAGGCAAAGGACGCTTCCTACTGCTGTTGAGTCAATTCTGACTCCTCGCAGCCCCCAACGCACGAGAAGAACTGCCCCGAGGGCGTGCAGAGTGGCCTTGTTTAGGGAACCAGCCCGCCACGTTTCCCTCATGCACAGCGGCTGGTGGGTTTGAGCTGTAGCAGCTGAGCACTGCAGTCCTGTGCCGACAGGGCTCCTTACACAATGGTGAGTACACCGCATTGAACAAGGGTGGGATTTGAACCCAGGCAGAATTCCAAAGGTCATGGTCTCTACCATAGTATTGCTGCTAGTCTTGACATTAGACATGAGAAAATAGAGAGGCTGGGTTCCCGAGTCATGCCATCCATGGAGAGCTAGGTTATGAACAAACCCAACCCAACCCATGGCTTTGGAGTAGATCCCGACTCAGGGCAACCTTATTATATAAGGTTTCAAAGACTGTCTTTAAGGGACCGGCGAACGTAATTTAACTCCAAGGATCAGTTGGTGGGTTTGAACTGCCGACCTTGTGGTTAGCAGGGCAAGGTTGACCAGGCAGCTCACATCACCAGGATTCCTTTATGTAATGAAAGGACCCCTCTACTAACAAAACCACAAAACGAAGGTGAACAGAATGTTCAATAGGTCTTGGTATTGCTGTAAACTTACTGAATTCAGCATGCTTCGGAGCATCCCTAGTAATAAAAACGCCGCTTCTGTGCACACGTTGTGAATCGAAGAGACCACAGTCCCGCTGGAGGCCGGAACTCCAAAGATGAATGTCCAAATGGAGTCTAAGTCAAACTGCAGAGGTGGGAGACATTGCGATGAGTCATCACTGATTTCCCTCGGGAGAGACCCTCAACATTCGGAGAGTTTAAAACTTCTTTGCAACTAGTCAGTTTGCTTCGACAAGGAAGAAAGGATGGTGAGACAGAGCTCTAACGCTCCCGCTCCTACGCTCTACAATTCACATTTCTATCGAGAAAGGTTGACGTTTAATCCTGTGTAACTCGGTTTAGGGACATTAGTTAAAAACACGTTTTAAAGGAAAAACAAACAAATACATGCTGATTAGCCAAGAAGTGAAATTAAAAGAACAAGTATGATTTTAAGCAGAACCTTTAAAGAAAATACACTAGATTAGCTTTTATCAACTTTAGCAATGCTTTAATTCAATTTTAGCTCACTTATAGGTAAGATCTGAGAAAATGAAAAATCCGTCTGGGAGGTTTATTCATTGTTGTATACCATGATACTTTGTGACTACTGTGTTATCGGTATTTTAAAACATTACATAACCAGTCAGTTTCTGCTGAGCATGAGATTTGCAGCTGGCTTTAAGAACGGAGTATTATTATTTTGTATTTAGCAGAACTAATTTGAGAAGCATTTGGCATTATGATAGAAACTTGAGTTTAAAAGATAAATTCTTAAATTTTTATAGTGCTGCAAACACAGGCTGCACAGAGATAGCATTTTTGAGATGTTTTTAGGGGAACAGACAGCCTCATCTTTCTCCCAAGGAGAGGTTGGTGGAGGTGAACCACTGAACTTGTGGTCAGCAGTCCCACAATTAATGGACAGTGCCCACAGGGTTCCTTAATAGGCATTGTTCATCATCTTCAAACACAGCAATCACATAAAGAATTGCTGATTTTCTAACATGGGTGCGATTGATCATTAGGAAATTTAAAATATGTTTCCATGCCAAGCTTGTACGAAAGATTTGTTTTTATGGTCCAAGGACATATTAATTTATGGGTACACAAACCACTCCCTTTGGATTTAATTGTAATTAAACCTGTAAATGATATTTAAATTGTAATTAAGTTGAAAATGAGAATACATTTCTATAGGGTCAGAAGACTTCTTTAGCTATCCATTAAAGTCTTTACACTTATACAAAGCATCATCAAAAAGCTCATGAGAAAATAGAATAAAAAATAATGGATTTTCCCCAGAAACTTTTGGAAGACCCCTGTATGATCATGTAGCAGTAACTGTAAAGGGACACAAAGGCCAGGACTAGACAGAGGACTTCCTGTTGGGGAAGTTTTCTAGGACATTTTCAGAATTTTTCTCTTTCAAATCAAATCCTGCTATGAAAAACTGACGAAACCGATAGTTAATTCGATGGTGATTAACCCATTATGCTAAGGTGTTCTTTTTAGTATACATAATTACACTTACACCTTACTAGGTAATTCCTACCTGGCCACCCTGCTTACTTCGGCTGCTGATGACAGGCACACTGACCTGCAGGTTCTCAGGCAGCTCACTAACGGGCTGCTGTAGAAACAATGCCATGAGGAGGAAATAGAGGGCAGGGACATTAGTGTGCTTAGGAAGGAACGACTGAAGAACTGGAAAACCAGGAAAATGACAGGCATCCCGGTTAATCTCCCTGATGGTCGATCTCCCACCAGCACTCCGGCCCACATTGAACCCTGCGAGAGGAGGAGAGAGACCGGTAAGTCCAGAATGATCCCCGACGACTGTCACACTGCATTAACACAGGAGGCAGCAGTTCAGAAAGCCTGACATTTCCAGAACATCCACATTAGAGGCGAAGAGCCATTCAATGGTGGAATAATAATTACGCTTTCCCTCAAAAGGTTGACTCTTCTAACTTTCGCAAGCTTGTCTATTAGGATGATCAAACCCCAAGCCCATTGTCTCATCGATTTCCACTTCTCGGACCTTGGAGGGCAGAGGAGAATGGTCCCACCGCACTGTCAAGGTCTGCCTCTTTCCGGAGGCGCTTTTTCTTGTGGGGTGGCTGCGACTGCTCAACCACCGTGCCGCCAAGGCTTCCCTTAGGACACGGATTTTGAAATCCAGCTTCAGACAATCAGAAGCACATGGCAATGAGTCACAAAATGATGTTGAGCTTACTCATTTAAAAAAGGGGCCCCAGAAGAGCTCTGACATTCCTGCTTGTATTTCCCTAGGAAGAAAGGGAAATCTAAGAGACAGTCAACATTTTCACACACATCTAGTATACAAGTATCGTAGTTATCACATAGTATGGATAGTTCATTGGTCCAGAAAACGCTCCAAACCAAGAAACTCAATGCCACTCAGTCAATTCCGACGCATGGTGACCCTATGGGGCACCTGCCCTAGAGGACGGCTAGCACTGCTGATCTGCTAGTTAGCCGCCAGCGAGCCCATCCTAAATCTCTGCCAATCTGGAGAGCAGAAAAGGAATATGTGCATGGATCGTGAAAAGAGCTGTAGGAGCCCCCAATAAAATGATTTTTTTCTAAAGGAATACATAAAGCAACTGTTCCTCACAACATGAACTATAATTCTGCTTCAGGATGTCAACGTGCAGTGGGACAATAAGCCCAATCCCCGCGTGGCTGGGGTTATTCACGGGCTTGAGCCGAACATCTGCAGTCTTCTCTAGAAGCATAGCTCTCCTGAGAGATGGCCATGGCGTAGAAACACGGTGGACAGCACCAACACTTCAGCAGCCCAGTCTCCTCCGCTACATTACTAGCCTCGGGACATAACCTCAATTCTGGGTCCTTTCATCACCCCAAACTTCCTCTTGTGCATAGCAAAGAGCCAATGTTCGTGGGGAACATTAAATTCCAATACAAAGAAGAGCTGACTTTTACCCTCAAGCAATCTATATTTCAAATGCACATCCACTGCGAACTTAAGTTTTGGAAGAAGTGAACTCGTATCGTGCTTGACACTACTTAACATAAGAGAGGGCAAATTTATGTCTACACTGCTTTAGGAATGTTTTTGCCCATCAACTATTCAGTATGAGCCAGTGAGTTCATCTTCTAAAAGTAAGCTTTTCTAACTAGCGAAAAGTTTCACAGCAATTTTTCAAGCTCTTTTACGTATCATCTCATTTCCGAACGACAATGAGTGAGTGACTTATTGCTCCCGTTTTTATGACATATAAAATATGAGCCCTGCACAAAGTTAGACAATTCATGAGTGGTGCCTCTAGGGTTCAGAGCCCAGTGTCTCTATTTTTGAGTCTGTAAAAATTATGTTGGGTGGGGGAGGGAGGAGGAAGAAATGGGGAGCTGATATCAGGGACTCAAGTGGGAAGAGAATGCTTTGAAAATGATGATGGTGGCATATATGCAAATGTGCTGGACACACTGGATGAATGTATGGATTGTGATAAGAGATGTAAGAGCCCCCAATAAAAGGATTTAATAAAAAAAAATTATGTCGTCTATTTTTCCCTTGTTAATGGAGTTGTCACATTCCTGAATGACTGGGTGGATTAGGGCACCTGCTTATAATAAATTCTTAAAAAAAGAAAATAGTATAAAAACCATTCTTGAGCTTTAAGAAACCAAATAAGAGTGACATCTTATATACTAAACAGGAAAAGAAATTCTGTAAGTGTTAGAAAAAAAGCAAAAACAGCATCCATGACCTTAAGGAAGATGCACTACTTTATGAACAGTCAGGAATCAATCATTTAGATTCACATTACTGTTGTATGCAAGGCCTATAGAAAACTTTGATAAAAACAAGCACCCTTCCATTTAAAACTTCAAAAACTGTAGGGGCTCATGAACTCAAAGAGAAATAGAATAAAATGGGAAGGTATGTGCTTGTGTCTGTAAACGTATAGGTATTTAGGAATGTGAAGTTAAATTGAAATTGACTACCGAGGCTCCTTTTTTGAAATCAGAGCAGCAGAGAGTATATGCAAGCAGGTATCAATGTAGGCCAAATTCTAAGCCAGGAAGCCTGCTAGGTCATATGTGAATGAGAAACAATAAACAGTACAAGACTAAGAGTATGATCCTCAAACACCATAATTATCCTTCTTAGGAAGCTACAAAGTTAACAGTAGTATTAAGTCCTTAATTAGAGAAATTCATCCTTAAATTATACTTATTAGGTTTAATTTACTTCCTATATAGTTTATATATAACGGTCTCTAGGAATGTATAGGCTGAAGGAGTTATATGAGAGAATTCTGCAAACCACAGTGTAATATGTAAATCTTAGGTGCAATTACTACTGCTGCTCTGCACCTTCAGTGAGAAGAAATGTTGCCAATTAGAATTTAACACTTTACTGTTCAATAGAATTCACATTCAATTTTAATAGGACTCACATTCAATTATGCCTTGCACTGTGTCTTCTCTAGTAGCTATTATTACCAAGGTCATTAACTCAAATTGTCTGCTACCAAATTGCTCTCGCATGTAGTAAGTTTTTACGTAGGTTATTTCCCCTGGCCCCACCACCAGGAGTCAACACAAAATAGCGACTTATTACCTATAAGAAATTTAAAAAGCACCTTTTAGAACAAGGCATATTTTCGTGAAAAATCATTACAGAGTGATGCTACTCTCTGTCTTCATCCCAAATAAAAAGTTACTTCAAACATTTTCCATGGGCTGATGAATTACAAACAATCCTATGTGGAAAATCTGTCTTGTTATCATTCTTGGTCTTTTAAGAAAGTAGTTGCAGAAGCACTTATAAATTGTGAATTTTATATTTCTTACAGATAAATTACACTGTATACTAACTTTTAACCTTCAAGTTTCCCATCTGACAAATGTAAATCCATTCTTGACAGATGTTGCTTAAGATCACACAACAATTATATGCTTGACTATAATTTTCAATAAAAATATAATCTTTAAGGATTCAAAACTTAACTGGAAGAATACAGTTGAAGAAAACAGTTGGGAAAATATAATCTTAATCGTCAGTATGAACAGAAATTAGCAATTCAATTATCTTCCACAGAGGACTGTAATTCTTAATATTACTTAAATGCTGGAACATGGTACTACTGCACAGAAAACACGACACTTTGCGTAATCCTTGAAAGGCACCCAGCATGTATAAAGTATGGGCTGATACTCTGAGAAACCCCGATTCAAATTTGGACCTTCCCTACCTGTGACTTCACACGTATGCCCTGGTTTTCTCATCTGTAAAACGACTATCGTAGAGTTTGTATCTCACAGGGTCACTGTGGAAATGTAAGCTTCCCAGGGTAGTAAATACTCAACGAACTGGCAACTAACCAAGAGGTTGGTTGTTCAAATCTCTCTGGAGATGCCTGGGAAGAAAAGCCTGGTGATCTTCGAAACGTAGCTATTGAAAATCCTTTGGAGCACAATTCTACCTGGTCACACATATGGATGCTGTGACTTGGGGTAACTGGTAATGTTTAGACTATTAGTTTACCTGGAATAATTATTCAAAATAAATGAGTATTAATTATTATTATGGTGGTGCAGTAAACTACTTAATAAGGCTCATTTCAGCCATAGTTTTTGAAATTCCCACCATGGTGGAACCATGCAGATTGAGTCTATCACCCCTTTCCCCGACGGTTCTGGATAAAAGGCATGGGAAGATGAGGACAGGATCATAATAGGATTCATTGGGAGGGTTTGCTAACTGAGTTCATTGTGATTATGAAACTTGAAACTGAAGTGGGAATTGGCCAGTTATGCCATCTCACCTGGTATACAAGCCATCTCAGAAGCTTGTACGGGGAAATCTTACCACCTGGCTCATGCCAGGAACAGAGTGTGGTCTTTGGACCGTGCGATCTGCCTCATTCAGCAGACAGAGCTGTGACAGCAGAGGCTTGGTGAAGGAATAGTGGAGTGGCGGCAACAAAGACTGGTAGCAAGAGCATGTGGCAGCGCAGCAGGTTCCCTAGCCCAGAGGGAGAGAGCCAAGTATCTGCAGGTAGGAGGCTCACTTGCAGAGCGGGGCGTCTTCAGGCATTTAATTGGAAGAGTTTCTTTGGTTTGCCTACCCAAGATGCTAGGGCTGAGTGCCTCTGGGCTGAGGCTTAAGGCAACATAGAGTGCCCTTTGGGCATTTATTTATTGGCAGTAATAATGGAGTTTTTTAACACTGCCCAAGCAGGACAGAAGGCACGGGGCCACGTGGTAGAGCGGCTGAGGACGAGAAAGAGGCATGTCTGTGGACCCGCTGGGAAGAAGCTGTCCTGACCCACTCAGATAGTTGAGTTATTACCCAGTACCTTCCTTCCCAAACCCCACCATCCTGAGTATTGTCTCTGAGGTCTGCATAGCCGCTGTAATGAACTATTGCACCTGAGGGACAGTAGGGGTGAGAACTGGTAGAGAGCATTGAAGGGTGTGATCTTGACTCCATGTCTACTCTCTGCCTCACAGGAACTGGCCTTCGGCTGATGTTTGATTTGAATCAAGTTCCCACTGAGGAAGCCAGAGGTCAGACATCACCCCCATGTCAATCTTAGCATTATTAATTCAATATCACTGATTATCTGCTACTTATTTATCTACTGTACTCCCAAACTCCAAACTGACTGTCATTGAGCTGATGTCAACTCACAACAATCCTACAGAACAGGCAGAACTGTCCCTGTGACGTTCTGAGACTGTAACTGCTTACCGGAGAAGAGAGTTCTATCTTTCTCTTGTGGACTACCTGGTGGCTTTGAACTGTGGACCTTGCAGATCACAGCCCAATGTGTAACCACTACACCACCAGGGCTCCTGTATCTATACCACAATTACAAGAATATCATTAAGAATTCCCTGAATTCTCGTATTTTACAATGGTCCTTAATAATAGTAAATTCTGTCTCTGAGTTCACATTTTACAATTCTGTCTCTGTTTTGCAATTAAGAGAGCCACATTTGAAACCTTTTAAGCCTTACGTTTTAATGCTAATTAAATTTAGCATAGATTCCTCATGGCCATCAAATAAAGATAAACTGGTGAGCGTATGCCTATAACAAACATTTTAAAACACTACAGCTTGTTTTAAGGTGACTTTTAAAATGTTTCCTACCTAATACAGTTCCAATCTTATTAGTCAAGACAGAATCGGTTTGCTCAAGCCAACCTCCACCATTAAGTCCTTCCTTGAACTTGAGGAGAATGGACTGATTACTCAGCAGGACCACCAGAATCCTCATGGCCGCGGTAACGGTGGTGGAATGCAAGTGTTCTTCCATGAACATCAGAATCCAGTCAAAACCCAGGGTCCTGACCAGTTCTTCACAAGCTCTACTCAAAAACAGGAGGAGAAAAAGACAAAATAAATTTCAGGCATTCAGCGTTTTAGAAAAAATCTATTTAACATTTGTTGTTCCCTTTTTTTGGTCTCCGAGTAACAGCAGCTATTATTCATTCAAACATTTTACTCACTGCAAATTAATGCTTGTCTTTTCTTTAGACGTATAAATGAGTTTTAGCAAGATATCCAGAAGTCTGTTCCTCAGAAGGATAAGATTAGCCGATACAAGACCGCCGAATTCTTCCTCAGTTCCTAATAGGAAAATCAAGAAATTAAAATCACCTTTGGGGACAAACTAATAGAAAATACCCAAAATTACTTTCTTTGAAGTCTCAATGGAAACGATGTCGTTTAGAAGACCTTTCTCGAAGGCAAGCCCGAGGAGGGCTTTTCATGCAGGTGGACAATGCAGGTGTGTGAAATGTGTTCTTTAGAAGCCTGCACATTGTGCTTTTACGTTTAGCTTTATTTTGAAGCTTGAGATAGTGAAAGGTTGTGAGCCCAATCAAATAAGCACCACATGAGTAAAAATAGCAATCACTGGAAAACCTCAACTTCCTGAATCCTTAATTTCAAGTTCCGTTTTGAAGGAGATAGGACCGTTTGCTTTAACATCTTTGAAACTTGAAACCGTCAGCATGAACTTACTTAATGAACATAATCCGTAAAGAAGTGTTAGCAGCAGCAGATGCTAAAGCGGGAGAGGAAGAGAACGGGAGGAAAATGGAAAGCTCAGCGGAGGACAGTCCACTGAGGGGCTCTCAATGGCCAGAGAATGGGCGTCACTGACCCAGCGCTGCTCCTGGCCCCGCTCCATCACCAATGAGATATGGTCAATGAGTCCTTTATAGCTGAGCCTCGATAGGCTCACTTTCATCCAGCACCACTCTATGAGTTCCATTTGTTTTGCAAAACACGAATGCTACCTTGAATCATTTTATTCTTAGAAGTGCCAGTGTTAGTGTTGGAAGCACTGCTCCAACTTTACTTCGTTTCTGGAGTTTCCGCGGCTTTCTTAAATTGGACAGCTACGGGAGGGGCACCGATCAGAGCAGGCTGGTTCTCCCCCAGGGGAGTCCAAGATGGCTTCTTCTCCTGAGAGGTCTAGACTGGTCAATTTTTAATACGGCCTTCTAAGCAGTGTGCTACAAATCTAAGTTGTTACAAGATATCTTTTTGTTTGTTTTCTAAAGTCACTTTGTACAAAAACTACAAATTCTCATGTGTTCGGTGTTCAGTCTCTTCATTGTCCAGGTACATATTCTCCCACATGGCACACACGGGGAACTAATGTGGGAGGGGCTGCAGAGGTTGCAAAACCAACCAGTCAGAAAATGCTCACAGTATTTGTATAAAAATATGGGACACTTGCCCTAATTTTCATCTATTTGCTCACTGTCAGCAAGGTGGTTCTGGCTCACCGCAACCCTACAGGAAAGGTTAGACTGCTTGAGTGGAGTTCTGCAACTTTAACACTTTACGGGACGAGAAAGCCTCACTTTGCTCCTGAGGAGCAACTGGTGGTTTGAAACTGCCGACCTTGTGGTCTCCGCCCAACGAATAACCACTTAGCCTTCAAACTCTAAAGCCAAATGTACTGCTATTAAGTCAATTACGATGCATAGGGACCAGGCTTTCTACTCCCATACAGAGTTAGTCTCGAAAGCCCACAGGGCCAGTTCCACCCTGTACCATAGGATCACCATGAGACAACGCCACCAGGGTTCCAGACTTCCACATACAGCGTAAGCGAGGAACCCTGGACGGGTTCCCGGTTAAGGTTAACATCCCACTCACACTGATGTGTTGTCTCAGTGTGTCACCCTTTCCTCTGTAACTGAGTAGTATCGTACTGTATTGGTGTCGGTGTAGGTGTGGCAGACATTAAGCACACACGGGCGTTAGCCAGTAATTTGATCTTTGTCTGCTCATGCACTGCTAATTTGCATCGCCACAGAAATGGTATCCAAGGCGTTGGTGGGAGCTAAACAGTCGGGCGCTGTGTTCCTCGTGAGGATCGGCCTCTAAGGCGCTGTGATTTACAGCAAGTCCCTTGGCCTCTCAGATCTCTCAGGGTCTCCTTAAACACTGTGATTTCAACATGACCTTGTTTCCACAATGCACAGCAGAGGGTGTGCTCCAAATGGGACAGTAAACAAAGAGAGTTTTTTTTATTTTTGCAAGGCAATGATAAATTATTTCTTCTCTATCTTCTAGGTGAGCAGAGTTGTAAGGATTTAAATGGAACTCAGCCAGGAAATATGACTTCAGGGTAATGAAAGGTGTCATGTAAATAATACTGAATATACCATAAATTTAATTGCACAGGTTAATTAAAAAGATCTTTTCAAGGCTTTCCAAGCCAACTGTCCTGCTTTATAACATACGAAAGGAAATATTTATTGGAACGAAGGGAATACATAGGTTTCAAATGAAGGAGAAAAATAGTTTGTCATGAGTTCAGAAACTAAAAAGTTACAAAACTAATTTTACCTTATACTTACCTAAACCGATTCTAGTAAAATGTCCTTTCCCTTAGTAGCCATTCATTATTTAATGAGGGAATGAAAATAATAGTAATATAGATATAATTCACTCTGGCAATATCTCTTTCAGAAGAGATGTATTAAATAAAATGTCACATCACATATATAAAAGACACCGCATGCATTTTTGCTATTTAAAGGAGAGCACGCTGAATTCTCTGAAACATATGGACACTTTTAACTGTAAAGTAACTTCACACGCACATAAATAGTTTAGGTAATACTCTATTTCTGTTTGACGCCATCGAGGTGTTCTAGAGATAATACGTGACAGAGCTACAAGACTAATACATCTGGGAAAGACGGAAACAACTGAGCGTCCGTGCTGCAGGTCGACCTGGTGCTAGCAGCCAGCCGGCGCACGGCCAGCTTGAGCACTAGCTCCCCAGGCTCCCGAAGACACTCACCGGCGTCAAGCTTCTCTTCGTTATTGATCTCCATCACTACAAATTTCTCACAAACGGCAAAAGTTGGTAAAGTCGAAGAAACAAACTGTCCAAACCTTTAAAGACCAAAAAAAAATAAAGTATAAATTTTATTTTTCCTTTCCTCCAAATAAACAACATTCAAAGAAATACGAGACAAAAACGCTATTTCCTATTGTAACTAATCTTTTTCAGACCTTTACATGACCATGTTGAACAGGCTTCTTCTGGCCATAGGTAGTTTTATAAATAATAACGCTTTAAAAAAAATACATGAGGAAGTATAATTGTCCAGAAACTTAAGTCTTTTGTTATACCAACTCAAACGGTTTCCTGAGCCAAATTAAAGAGCGCTAATAGGTCCTACTAGGAGCCCTGGTGGTGCAGTGGGCGCTCGTGGGCTGCGATTGTAGTTTGAAACCACCAGCGGCTGCACAGGAGGAAGACTTGGCTCTCGATTCCTGTAAACTGTCTCGGACACACAAGCTCGCTCTGAGTCAGCGCTGACTCGGCGGCAGTGAGTTTGTTTAAGAGTACCTGCAGGAGTGCTGACAGCACTCATCGGGTAAGCTTTGGATTGCAGCTACAAGGCTGGCAGTTCAAACCCACCAGCTGGTCAGCAGGAGAAAGGTGAGGCTGCTTTCATCAAGATTCACAGCCTCAGAAACCCTATAGAGCAGTGGCTCTCACCCTTCCTCCTAATGTTGCCACCCTTTCATACAGTTCCTCGTGTTGTGGTGACCGTAACATTATTTTCGTTGCTACATCATAACTAATTTTGCTACTGTTTATGAATCGGGTGACCCCTGTGAAAAGGTTGTTCTATCCCTAATGGGGTCTCGACCCACAGGTTGAGAACCACTGCTAGAGAGGATCTCTCAGGTGAAGAACTCACTCAATGGCAGCAGCAAGTTCGGATGGGAAACAGTACATCACAGAGTTCGGGTACTGGGGCTGCTAAACAAAAGTCAGTCATTTGAACTCCCCAGCTGATCACAAGAGAAAGATGAGGCTGTCAGGCTGCAGCAGCTCCACAATGTCCCACAAAGGTGCTATGAACTGCAATCCATTAGATTAGTCTTGGGTCTGGCTTGGTTTAACGGCACCTATGAATCTATTGATGTCTAATAGTTGAAAGTGAACGTTAGAAACACAAACAAAAGTTAACATTGGGGCTCACTTTTTAATGGTGCCTGGTGACGCAATCATTCAGTGCTCAGTGTGGGGCCACCCAGGACTCCATGGGCAAACAGGCCTGGTGATCGGCTTCTGTAAAGATTATGCCCTAGACAACCCTACGAGGGCAGTCCTACTCTGCCACAAGGGTTGCGATGAGTCAAGACCTACTTGAAAACAAGAATATGCTCTGTAAGCCTGTGCAGGTAGCGCACCTAAGCTGGGCCTTCATTCCTCTGCCAACTAGAGAAATGAGAACCGTTCAACCTCTCCGTGCTCATTTCCGTCAAGGGGTCACAAAGTGAACAGCACAGAGCCCGGATAAGCTTTAGAAAAACACGGTTGATGATAACCATGCACTTTTCCTAAATAGTTTAAGCTCCAGGTTATATCTGCCTCCAAAGCAGTTAAAAAGCAGAAAACATAGACCATTTTCCATGATAAATGAATGCAAGACTAAGTCGTTTTACATGCTACCCAAATTAAAGATTAGTCTGCTAGGAATATTCTAACAAGTGGGGGTGACCTTATCTGAAATCCTGGGAGATTACATGAAAGTGAGTGTAAGCCATCTCTCTTTGGAGACGACTTGGATTACATCTATACCGTTTTGTTTGTTTCTTCCCTCTCCCCATTTTTGGTTAAGGTGATCATATAAACACAGGCACGTTTCTAGAGGTACTGCATAAACATGCCTCATGTGACAATTCCCATTGGCAGGAAGATAAGACTTATAGAAATGGTTTGGCTCGGCAGCAGTTCACAGAAAGGGACTTCACAAAGTTAGGGGGGAAATTCTGCCATCTTTTCATTCCATTTTCCCATATGATTTTTGAAGCCCCTCTCATATCATCACCCATTTTTATATATGTCCCCACATTTTTAAGTGTTATTGCCTATATGCCAATGGTAACAGCACGCTCACTATGAGGTATGTGTGTACATGAGTGTATGCATGTGCACAGATGTACGTGCCACTGCACTGGAGTAGCCAGGCTCAGAGGAGAGGGCTGTTCTATATTGAACACTTTCAAGATCACGCCATTCATTATCAATGGTCTTATTTCCACATTTTTTCTCATGTATACACCAAAGCTCCAAACTCCATCATTGAGTCAATTCAGACTCATAGAAAACTTTTAAACCAGAACAGAACTGCCCCCTTGCTTCCAAGACTTTTAAATCTTTATAAGAACAGACATCTTTATCTTTCTCCCGCAAAGTGACTGGTGGGTTCAAACTACTGACCTTGTGGTGTTAGCCCAATACGCCACCAGGGTTCCTTCCTTTTCCTAATGAACATTATTCTATTATTCACTAGGGGCAAAGAACTGGCTTTGCTCTATAAAGACAAGATAATGAGATGCGAATGTTTTCTCTGCCTTACAAAATATCTTGAGTGTTATTCATGTTGCAAACAAGCCGATCATGTTCATGCCATTTGTAAAAATTACAGTTTTATTGAGATACAATGACGTACCATCCAATGTAATAGCTCAATCACCTAAGCAGGGCTGTGCGTTCCCCAGCACAATCAGCTCTGGAACATTCTCACACCACTCCGCTTAACCTGATGGGCACTGTCAGGTCAAACAAAGGCAAACACTGATGTTTTCACTACCTGAGCAGATCGTTGCTGTTGGGAAAACCTTGCAGTAAGAAGCTCAGCACGTTACTGATGGCAGCAATGGTGGGCTGGGATAAAGACATATCGCGAAGAGTCAGGAGCAGCTTTGGGATTAGCTGGAATTCCCTCATCAACTTGGCATTCTTTGAAGCTTCACTATAAAAGAAAGAAGATCTCATAAACGAGACTGTCATCTTTCCTACAACTGAACAACTAGCTTCGTCAGCCCTGACTGGTACCTGGACTCCGTGAGCAGTTCAATGAAGTGTTCAAATAAGGAAAGGTGCAGTTCATACGGAGCATGGAGCCAGACCTACGATACAAGTAAAGAAAAGTGTCAGATGAAAGCTTAACGATCTCCTCACGCGGTGGGCCTGACAAACGTCGACACAGCTCCTGGACGTTATTTCACTTGTATAATTAATTTAATATTCCCACTGCAGTAATCTCGATCTGGCAACATCCTGAAAAACTGCTGGCATGAAGGATTTCTAGTTACGCCCATAGAGCAAGAACTACCCTGGCTATTGCCCTCTCGTGGTCAACAACTGGAAAACTGGACAAGGCATATGAAACTACGGTTTCAACACGTGTCAGCAGTCTGGATGGGTCTCTGAAGGGAAGCCGACAGGGTGATCCCCGTACCTGCTCCAGCTTACTGCCTGCAGGTAGTGTCCAGGCTTACACACAGGATGGGGAAATCGCAGAGCACAGAGGTCTCAAGGAGTTGATGAGAGAGAGGGTTTAAGAATGTAGGAAAGGAGAGCTTCAAATTGTAAGGCAGCACACCAGACAGAGCAAGCGGCACAGAAATAGAGTAATGGAGAACTCTGAAACTTTCCCTGGAACCACTGACTGACTACCGGTGTAGCTTGTGCGGGGTGCACTCCCATGAGAGTGGGGAAAGACACGCTCTCTGGAAGGCAGCGCAGCAAACACTTCCAGAGCTCTCCCAACAGTGTCCAGAGACCTGGTACCACGTGGGCACAAGAACAGGGTCATCAGAAGTGTACTACATCAGCTTGGGACCAGTCATGGCACAAAACAGTTCATAAAGTTTCTTCTGCATCCTAGTTTGTTGAGTATAGTCTGAGGGCTTAAAGCTTACAAGTGGCCATCTAAGATACAACTACTGGCCTTTCCTGGAGCGAGAGACTATGATGGAAATCAAAGACACAATGGAGAAATTCTCCACAGGACAAACTGGCCCCCCCAAATACAGCCTCCTCTAGCCCGAGCACAGATGAACTGGAGGGTGCCTGGCCACCAGTGCCAACAGTCTGATTAGGGACACACTACTTAGTCCTAGGCAGAATGGGAGGAAAATGTAGAGCAAAATTTACATTCACCCCAAGATACCCTTTTAAATGGGAACTGAAGTCATTCCCAGGGGGTCGCTTTTCATCCCAATAAGAGATTGACTCATCAAAGAAATAGTGTCACCCATGAGGAATGTGATCCCTTAAATAATCAGGCAGAAGAGATCAAGGGGTCAACATTACTCCAAAGCACAGATAAGGAAACCCTGGAAGAGCTGGGAAGCTAGAAAAATGAAAACGGATGAACAGCATGGAGTAAGAGTGCTGACGCAATGTGTAAATTCTATGCCACAGTGTGGTATATTTTGTACAAATATGGTTAAACTGGAAGTTAATTTTCTGTATAAATTTCCTGCTAAGGCACAATAAAACATTAAATAAAAACAAATGAGAAGCAATGCCTTAGTAGTAGGCTAAATTATCACTTAAACAAAGGCTACCCTAGTCCTGCTCTAATAAAGCTCAAAAGGTCAAAATCATTGCAAGTAACTTACTATTGTACCAGAAAAAAGTTCAACACTCTTTAAAGGAATAAAACACATCTAGCATTCAACAATAGGAAATTCATAACAGCTAGTGCTCAATCCAAAATTAACTGGCATGCACAGAAGGAAAATTTTCTCCCATAATTAAGAGAAAAATCAATCATTCCAAATAGGCCCATAAATGGTGGGGATGGCAGAATGAACAGGCCCTTAAAAAGCTACTATAAATATGGTCCATATGTAAAAAAAAAAAGAAGTGAAAAACATGAACATGATCAGGAGAGAAATTTACGATCCAAAAAACGACCCATAATTCCTAGAGATGGAAAAGACAATGTCTAAAATGAAAAAAAAAATGGAAGGGAATAAAAAACAAAAGAAAAAAAAACGAAGGGGGAAAAAAACCAAACAAACTGAAACCCCAAAAAAAGAAAGAATTAACCACTGAATATCTTAAACATGAAGCATAAGAAAAATACTACAATGAGATGCCCAGGAACCCTAGTGGCTTGTAGAATTATGTCGAGAAAGTGAAGATTATGTATAACTGGAGTCCAAAGAAGGGAGGCATGGGGAAAGTAGTAGAATAATTGTCCACAAATCATAGGCAGACAATGGGGTGGCTGATAATTTTTGAAATATGAAAAGAACAAGAGTCATCAGCTAGAATTCTATTCAGTACTCAATTATCGTTCAAAAACAAAGGTAAAGACTTTTTTCATTGCCAGCAGACTTGCTGTACAAGCAGTGTTAAAGAACTGTTAACTGCTAAAGGGGTTCTCTGGCAGAAGGATTATGCCAGAGGGGACACTGGATATACACAAAGAGACAAAGGACACTATAAAGACTGTAAGTGTGGGCAGATACAAAAGACACTTTGGCGATTTACAAAGCTTATTGATTATTGAGAGCCAATACAACACAAGGCCTCGTAAGAGTTATAAACATACAGAAGTACAAAGCATGACCACAGCAGCACAAAAGATGAGAGAGCCCTGGAAGGGCGTGGTTACAAGGGTTTTCCACTACAGGGGAAATGGTAGAATGGCCTTGGAATCTAGACAACATTGTCATAGACATGTGATATAAATCATAGAGCAATATTTGTGTGCTACTGCAATGATCTAATTTTTGTCAAATGGCTGTTCTAACATTAGGGAGTGCTGAGTATTTCTAAAAGAAGCCTGCGTGGCACAAGCGGTATGCTATTGGCTGTTAACCTAAAGGTAGGCAGTTCGAGCCCAGTGAGTGGCTCCAAAAAAGGGTCAGATGAATCGCTTCCACAATGATTACAGCCAAGAACACCCTAAGCAGCAGGTCTACTCTGTGGCACATAGCAACTAACAATAACAACTACGCCTAGCAGATATAGCCTATTCTGGTCTGGAATAATATAGGTGCTTTATCAAGCCACAGAGGTGCAAGGAATTAAAAAACAAAGGTGAAATTTAAGCAACTACATCTCTGGTGGTTGTACATTATATTTTACTCAGAAGTCTAATGCTAAAAACACTCTATGATTTAAATGCATCAGTTGGCAGATAGAGACAATGGTAAACTGGGTTAGGTAGGAGTCCCTGTACTCCCCTAACCCTTTCTGTGGATCTTCCTCTCTCCACGTTCACAAGTCTATAAACAGTGTGCCTGTTTGTCTTTCTCTTCCAAAGGACCCATGGTCTCGAGGGCATCTACTCAATCGTTTAATTAGGTTTGCTAACTGCAAGGTCAACGGTTCAAATCTATCAGCTGCTCCAAGGAAGAAAGATGAGGCTGTATGTTTCGATAAAGATTTACAATGTCAGAAACCTTATGTTGAGTTGTTACGAGTAGGAAGTTACTCAATGGTACTGGGTTTGGTTTTTTTAAGCTACTAAATATAGTACCTAACAAAAATACATTGACTACGTGTTTCTAAAATGACAGAGGGGAGAGAGAGAAGTGGGATAGAGGGACTGCGAGATACAGAGAGCTGTAGGGTCCTGGCAACGGCATACTGCGAATAAACCAGGGATTTTTTTATTTAGAAGAAAGCTGCTAATAGACCTTAGAAATACAGCTTCAGTAAAGGAGTTAGTGCATACGGGCTGTTGGTTAGGGGCTCACTAATTGAGGAAACAGCGTGTAGCAGGCATGGGAAAGATGTTAGCGCGTGGACATTCTATGTGGTAGGGGACCAGGGTGAAGAAGTTGGTCCAGTCTTGGCATTCACCAGGCCTGCAGTCTCACAGGCCCACAGGACAGACAGACAAAGGCAAGCAAAAGGACGCCTGTAACAACTGGAATGCAACGTGCTGCTGAACCAGAAGTGACACGGAACGGCGAGGGCTGACTCAGCAGGACCACAGAGGGCGGGGTGGGAGCGGCGATGGTTAAGAAACGCACGTCCTCTTACTGTGGCGAAATGAGCGATACTTTATTACGCAGTTAGTGCACTATTTACCAATTACATTAACTTGTCAGTGAAGTTCCTACGTGTTTGTTAATAGTTCTACTGGCGCAATGTTCACATTCAATACAATAGTTCCATCACATCAAGAAGAGTGGCACAATCATCACCACAATCAGTTTTGGGACATTTTCCTCATCCTTGTGCTCATCGTTACTAGTCTCCCCTTTCCCCCCAACGTCCAGGGTCATGTTCCCAAGGGCAGGCTCCCATTTACTGAGGAACGCATTTTTCCCAAACTGTTTGGTAGACGTATGCTTGCACTATAACGCCAGTGAGGTGGGGGCTAGTTCAGTGTGTACGTTCCACTTTGTCACAGCTACGCCACGTAGACAGTGGAATAACCATGGCGAGAAGGCAGGCCATCGTGCCCCTATCTGGCACACTTCAGAACGACACTGGCATCGGGACCATAGATTCATAGAACTCCAAAAACATCTAAGAGATAGCAGAGCTTACCAGGATTCTTGCACAGGAGAAGGAACGGAGTTATTGATAACATGGTACCAGTTAGGGTCTCTATACGTACTTCAAAGTCACAAAGCAGGTCCTGGAACGCAGTTGAGTTTGGAATGATGGAGGTCTCATGCCCACTGTCCACCGTCCCCACCAAGGAAAATGTGAGATGGAGGATGTGGCTGTTCAGAAGGGAGCGTTTCTTCTTAAGCAGCATTGCCAGCAACTGCACGAGAACAAAACCCAAATGCTGTGGATGAAACCGCCGCGAAAGACGCATGTATTTATATACTTGAGGGCCCTCGATGGAGATCAATTCATGAAATCTCTAAGCAGGTTTCCAAAATGTTCTCTTTATTATGAGCATACAACATTAGAGAAAACCTGAGAAACAGAGAAAAACCCTGAACTATAATCCCATCATAATAACATTGTCATCTTTACACAAAGTTCTAAATTAACACATATGTGTTTAAGCAGTTGCTACCAGCATGTGCAGATAATTTTGTGCTTTTCTTCATTTAGCATTTCATTAAAAGAACTCCCCCACCACCCTTTTTTCAGCACAGTCTTTATAATTATAATTGTAAAATGTTGAATGATAGTCGATGGACTGGTTATGGTCCAATTAGTCATCCTCATATTGTTGGGACATTTTGAAGGTTCTTATTCTTCATGATAGAAACTGCTGCAATAACTGCTTTGAAATTTTTATAAAACAATACACTCACCAAGATATAGTACAATGAAATCTGTACTATATCGTAATCTGTTTATTCAGTACCACTAATTATAGACTAACGCTATAGGGCAACTCTGGTTAATCTATGATTCAAAGATTTAATTTTGCTACAACCATTTTTTTTCCTTTGACAAATATATTTCTGCCTAAATCTAGAATGTAGATTATGGATACCTGAAGATTGTTTTATTTTTAATTCCACCCAATTTTTCAAGACCAGCCATGGCACACACAGTAGGCAGTGGCCTTCAGCAAACTTAAGAAAGGGGTGGGGTGGGGTGGCAGAGATAGAAATAATGTGAGATAAAAGGGGAGGCGAGGAGAATGGGAAGCAAACCTCCCGACGAGGTGGTAGTATGACTCTACTTCCTTTCAGTCCCAGCTCCACTAAGGAAGGAAAACAATACCCAAAGCAAATAACCGTTGTTCGACCAACACAGTCAAGTACACCAAAGCTTTGCTAGTTCAGTACAGCTTAAAGAAACTCATACCCTCATTTGATCTATGTTGGGTTTAAGAATGACAACTGGTTTTTTAAGGTCGATTGGGTAATGCAACAGTTTTACAATCTGAAAAATTACGAATGAGGAAAATGAGATTGGGGGTATAAGAAGGAAGACAGAGCTGTCTGGTCACAAACCTGGTAGCCCTTGATTCTTTCCATCTCTTTGCTGGCGAGTGGGTTGCTCTTGACCACACAAACCAGGGCCTTGACCGCTGCATACAGACCTTCCACGTCAGAGGCCATGGCCACCAGGCCCAGGACGGCTGCAGCTCCACCAAGGTACTGCAAAGTAGTGGCAACAGGCTTAGGGACAAATGTCCTTACTCCTGATCGAGAGATAGTGAAACATAATTAAAATAAATTCCCCAAATGAACAAGAACTGAAAAATGTATTTCACGGATTATAAACTTTATTATGATTTAAGGAACTTATATGCAAAATTTGAAACTCTAAAAAAAAAAAGGCAGAAATTGAGAAACATAATATAGGCTAACGCACAGACAGTAATCACTGTGTACAGAATCTTAAACACATGTGTTCCTTAGATGGGTTTATTTATTTGTTTATAGTTTATTTTTGTCTAGTTTTTATTTCTTGCATGAGTAGGACATTCTATCTCCTGTTAGGGAGTAACATACAGAATTTAAAAGTTGTCCACAATATAGGGAAATGTTAATACAGAAAATCATGCTATACTGTTTCTTTAGGTTTAGTCAATATCCAACTACAGCAAAAGAAACCACTACATAAAGGAAACAGAAATCATATTCTTGTTGTCTGTTTGATTAATAGAATGACAAGAGGAGACCATTTTTTACGGGTCATTTCCATGTGATAAGATGGCTCTCTTCCGTGTCTTTTAGTGTAAATGTTTTTGATTCTCAGAATTGTAATCTTTCTTCTGGTAATATATAAAATTAGGGTTTCCACAAAGAAAGTGAGAAAAACACCTACATGGCAGAATAGGTGGCTGAACGAGGAGGGGAGCACTGGGAGGGAGTCCCGGAGAGAGGTAGGGGGGGCGGCGGGGGAGGGGGGGCAGGGTTCGTGAGCAGCCCAAATGTCCCTGTGGAGCAGCACTGGCACAGACTTGGCGTACAGAGAGAGGGCTGGGGCAGGCATTTCTGAGGTGACTGAGGGCGCCATAGTGGTGTCTCCCGGGAAATACACTTGGAGAGCTAAATCGCTTTCACTCTGTGAACAGGGGAAGCGCTTAGTGACGCCACCCTAGCAGGTGGCATATCAGACCGGGCACTGAGCTGCTCACCCAAGGGCAGTGGTTTGAATCCACCAGCCACTCCATGGGCAAATGAGGTGGCCATCGACTCCTCTAAAGATTTAAAGCTTCAGAAACCCAACGAGGCAGTTCCACTCTCTCCTCCAGGGTCGCTGTGAGTTGGAACTGATTCGATGGCAGAGGGACGGTTAGCTCGCCCCCAGTAAAGAAGCACTGATGAACACCACTGCTGAGAAAGCACGAGCCAATCAGCACTTGTAGATTTCTGCCCCTCACTGGGGTTTGCAATGTAAGCCTCGGGGCAGTTCTACCTGGTCCACAGGGTGGCTATGAGCCGGGATTGACTCGATGGCAATGAATTTGGTTTGGATGTGGCCAGTGTTCATCAGTGGTGATGAAAGAGGGGGAAAGCTAGTGAGACTTTTTGATAAAATGTGTTAATTTTTTTACAGTTAATGTATTTATTTACACTTAAGGAGAACATATATTAAGGCTTAAATGGAACAAGGACAAGCTAACTGTAGAGACATAAGATCTGGACCAAGGAGACCATTAAGTCTGTGGTCATCATGTGTCCCAAGGGTTTGCTGAGATACAAAGCTTACTACAGGATGTGAAAAGTAGGTGACTGGACCATTGAATTGTATGATTTGTGAATTACATGCCAATAAAACTGTTTAAAGCATTAAGAAAAAAATTAAGTAATAAGGTGACCTGAGAGGTCAAAGAAAACTGTCACAAAAAACAGGGTCATTTGCAGATGAATATATCCCAGTTACCATAACTATGGAAGTGGGCCAGGGGCCGTGATCGACACACTACATTGTGTTAGGCCACGGAGTTTACAATATTGGTCCCCAAAGCAGCCAGGCCATGACAATGCGATCCCCAACAAGGTGATATCCATTAAGGACACCCCTAGATGAGCCACTAAGGGAAACTGTCCCTCCCTGGGCTTTGTGGGGGTGACACTTGGAAGTTTTCCACTTCCCAATACATTCTGTTCTGACAGCAAGATAATCCACAACCTTGGTCAATGGTGAGCAAACCGCCCGCCCCCGCCCCCACAAAAAAACCAAGCAAAAACAACAACAAAACCAAACTCACGAACACTGAGTAGATGCCGACTCATAGTGGCCCTATAGGACAGGGTAGAATTGCCCCCTTTGAGTTTCTAAGACTAACTGTTTACAAGAGTAGAAAGGCCTGCCTTTCTCCTGTGGGGCCACTGGTGAACTAACAACCTTGCAGTCTGCAGCCCAGCACACAATCACTATGCTACCAGAGAGCAGGCTCCATTTACATCCAAAGCCTTCTGCAAATTGAGTGCTCAGAGCTTAAGCTCTAATACAATTCCCTCTTCTGACCATGAATTTTATTGATAAAAATCAATTCATTTGTAAAGTTGACCAGAATTTAAGATGGCTAAATTTATCATTAATTGGTACAAGAACACCACAATCCAGCCCTATCAATGATAAATGTAAGCACTGCCTCTCAAGTGAGGCAAGTGGATGCAAAGGCGGTGAAGAAAGAAGTTGAAAGCAACAAGAGACAGTGTGACTCACCCAAGTATCCAATCAGGGTAGCCCCGATGGTCCGGGCAGGTCCATTAAGATGCCCTGCTGAATTGTGTATCAGCTTCACAGGAGTGGCATTCTCATGGGAGGAGATGCCTAACTAAAGAACAGAAAAAAGCAAATAATATAACTAAGAAGTCCAGTATATAAAGGTATGCATGTATATATATAAACACTTGAATACTGGTTTTACACACACACACAAAATCAGTATTCAGTTTTCAAAATGTGCTAACATTTATGAAGTTTAAGTTAGACACAAATTACGGAGACATAAAAGGTAAAGCAATTTCAGGGCACATATCCATGGGCTTTCTGTCCTGGTTCAAGTTTGATTGTTCTTTTAACCTGTGGCCACACAGTATTCCTGACCAGTGAACACAGTATTAACTTTATTCCATATTCAAGAAAACTTAATGTAAATTATCCTAGAGTTTATAAATAAAACATGCCAACATAAAAGTTACAGTTTGGATACACACTGCATGTTTGTAAAACAAATATAATCCTGGGGTTCCGTTCTATTGTTAACTGCAGAACTAAATTGAAATCCAGTTTAAAGTTCCTTATTAAAACAGATGCTTTTATGGCCAGATTTTGTGCAAGAGCTATTAATCCACATTGTTCCCAATCCCTTGCTCTCCAGTCTCAAGCTTCCTTTCCGCATAGGCCGTGTCTCAGCTAATCTGCCAAAAGGGCTGGCCGGGCTCTGCTGATCTCCACTTGGCTCACGTCAGTGATCGGCTCTCGGTCTCAATCTGACCTGACAGCTCCACCACGTGTCCCCGCAAATCACAGATTTCTGGGACACCAGCCCCTTTTGAATGTTCCCCTTGCCCGCTGGCTGCCACCTCCTGTCTGCAGTTCTCATGTCCCCAGCTTGCTCGTGCTAGCATGCCCAGGTCTCAGGCCCTCGGCCTTTCCTCTTCCTCGTGTCCAGCCACGTCTCGTTGAATGCACATAGTGTCACGGCTGGAAGTCACACCATGAACATGCACCAGGTCTGTGGTTAGAGCCCACCAGCTCCTGCCTGGGTGGAAGATGTGGCGGTCTGCTTCCATAAAGGCTGCAGCCCTGGAAACCCTATTGTGTCCTTGACAGGACTGGGCGTCACTTGATTTTCTGGACACCAAAGGCACTCAAATCTTGTCTGCACTCCAGATCCATAAAGCTAGTGGCCTTGACATGGACACTAAGATGCTTCACATTGTTGCTAGGTGCCCTTGAGTCTGTGCCAACTCATAGTGACCCTGCGTAGTACAGAACGGGACACCGCTCAGCACTGCTTCACCTCACAGAGGCTCTGTCTGGGCCCACTGTTCCAACCACTGTGTCGATCCATCTTGCTGAGGGAAGATCGTCTTTTTCACTCACTCAATCGATACCTCTACCAAGCGTGAGCTCCTTTTCCAGAGACCATCCCTCCTAATAATATGCACAAAGCACACGAGAGGAAGTCCCACCATCCTCCCTCGAAGGAGCATTCCGGCACCTCACATATTACAGATGTCTCAAACTTCTGAAATGTAAATCTCGACTCTTCCCCATCTCTACCTTCCTGCTGGGTTCTCCAAATCAGGAAAAGCGACCCTGTATGCTCATCCCAAAACCTTGGAATTGCCCCCTTTCTCTTTCTTTTCTGCACCAAATCCATAGGCAAAATGGTCAGTCATGATCATTATATGATACCCCAAGTCTGATTCCCTTATTCCGTCCACTGCTCTCACCCTAGTTCTGATGACACACCAAATCAGTTGTTATACATGGGCCTCAAAAAATAATATAAAGTTATAACTCTTGTCCCCCCTTTAACTCCTCAATATAAGTCAGAGAAATGTAGATGAAAATGTAAGTTATAACTCCTCATTCTAATGTCTAGAACCATAGAGTGCTTCCCATTTGACTAAGGAGGAGCCATCATGTTTATAATCAGGCCCTGTGACTTTTCTGAACTTCTCTCCCATTACCTAGGACTCCTCTCATTTGGACCTGCTACACCTGCCTCCTTGGTTGGCACACACACCTTCCTTAAGGACCTGAGCACTTGGATGCTTGGAAAACAGCCCCACCCTCTATGTACATCCCAGCCTCCATATTGCTGTGGCCTGTTACCTCGCCTCTTTTAAGTCTTGGTTCACATTCCAGTTTCTCAGCGAGGCCTCCTCTGACCATCTGACTGAAACTGCAGCCTTCTCTCTCCTCTGCGGCACTTTTTTGCTCCCTTCCCCACGTTATTTGTCTGCCCGGCTGCCACTACCCTCTAACATACTCGTGATTAGAATTTGTGCTTAGGATTAAGTGATTTCTTTGGTTATCACTGCCTGCTTTTTTCCAGGAGCACATAAGAACCATAAAAGCAGGAGTTTTCTTTTACAGCTATGTTATTTAAAAAAAAAAAAGATCCTGTGACATAGTAGATGAACATTAAAGTTATTGCTATATTCTTAAAAATATCAATTGCTTTCTATAGTTTTTCTACAGTTCTATTTTCAACTGCCTATGTAAATGTAAAGATAATAATAGAAATAATGCACTCAGAAGGAAATGCTCAATTTCCCAAACTAAGTTAAAAATCCATTTTGGCTTCAATCCCAAGTCAAATAAACTGCACGGTACACGGAAAGGGACTGCTTTGAGAAACCCTCCCTATTTGGGATGGAAGCCACAATAAGGTTCTCTTCCCAGGCGAATCGGGGGCTGCTTCCTAGGAAACCCTTCTGCGTACCTGTTTAGCAATGGCTTTGCTATCCAACTTGTTGTACACCTTCCGGATTCTTGCCACTGTCAGGGAAGACACGGAGAGTGCGTAGAGGCCGAAGGACACCTTTTCCTCTGGCACCAAAGACACAGGAGAGGGGACGACACCCTCGGGTTTGGCATCTTTGCCTTCAAAGAAGAACGAGATATTCAAGATCAGGAGTTTTTCTCCTGCTCTGACACAAGAATGTTATCATTTCTAAATGGGTGGATTTGAGACCCTATTAAGTAACTAAAACAAGGGAACCGAACTGTAAAAATGTTTTCGCTTAAGATATAAAAACATTGTTGGGTCAAAGTTTACACTGCAAGTTTTATTCTTGATTATGTGAACTGTGAGTAACCAAAATCAGCAAGGACTTAGCCGCAGGCTCAGAGGAAACGGAAGTGGGAATGAGCGGAACACCTGTGGACTCGGCAGCACTTGGTTCTCCACCCAGCAAAACGGGGCCTCAAAAGGTTCATTAAAAATATCTCAATATTTCCCCCCAAAGATGGTTAACATCAGCTTTATTAAAAATGTTAAAAATAATGGATGAAATATTTAAAAAATCCCCATAGAGGTCATAATAGGTCTCTATATAAAGAAAATAATTTCTAAAATTTGTCTTGTATTTTAAAGTCATCAGATTAGAAAATTGTGTGTGGGGGGGTAAATTACGGCACACGGCTTACTACTAAAGATGAAGATGTCTTCTTCACATCCCTGAGGTTTCTCACCACTACGAGGGCAGCTCTCAGGTGTGCAGGGAGACAGCAGGGCTGGGTAAAGGCTCGCCCACATCCTCACTGACCAGGCCTCTGTCCACTGCTCATTCTCACATGATGAGGGAGGGTTGAGGACGAGCCAAGGCTCTCCCACCTGTCTTACATTCATATGGCCTCTCTCCACCGGGAGTCTCGCGTATGTGAAGTTTGAGGAAAACGTAAAGGCCTTCCTATTCACTTCTTTTAAATCTCACTTTTATAGATGAACTTTCTGAAGCCCCTTTGGATATATCTCTGTAGTCTTCAAGATAACAAAGCCAGATGGCTTGGGTTTAAATCCGTGTTCTAGCACTTAAAGTCTTTATGATCTTAACTTCTCTGTGCTTCAGGTGGCTCCATTAAAAAACAACAACCAAAAAAACACAAAAACCTACAATAATATCAGTGTTTGGATGAAATGAATAAAAATATATGAAGGCGTAGATATGTCCTTCACACATCTAGCAGGGGTGTAGGAGGAGGGTGTAGGAGGAGGGTGTAGGAGGAGGGTGTAGGAGGAGGGCGTAGGAGGGCGTAGAATAGTTAGGTCTTACACATGAACTAATGCGTCTAAAAAAACAAAACCTCACAGCCTTTGAGTTGATTCCCACTCATAGCGAAGCAATACAGGATGTCCAAGGCTGTAAATCTTTGCAGGCGCAGACAGCCTCATTTTGACAAAAGGAATGGCTGGTCTGTTTGAACTACTGACCTTGTGGTTCCAAGCCCAACTCTTACCCAACAACACTCCCAGAGTTTATCTAGCACATCGGAAGTGCTAACTCATGATTAGACAATAGCTCTTATTTTATGTTATGTAAACCAAGACCATGAAAGAAGAAAGACATAGTTATTGTTATAAAGCTATTGCCATTTATAATATGCTGTTAGCTTTTCTAGGAACCTCAGTAGAATCCAAACAAAGTGATGGAAGATGGCCTTTGGAAAAAGTCCAACAGAGGAAATTCAATTTAAGATTAATTTCTTTGATTTTAAACTTCTTTTGGAAGAAAAGTTGACCAATCCCCACAGGACTGAGGGGATTCAGCAAAGTGCTGTGAACTAGTTTGCATTTTCTGGACCCCTTTCTGCCCTATACGCAAAGGCATAATTCTCTACCCTGCTCTGTACAGTAGAACAAGTTACAGAAAATGAAGAGAGCTGAGGCTAGACTCTCAGGGGTGTATATACATACACACTCACCTGCATCCTTAAGACAATGGGAGAAGCTGGTGATGAATAAATTGGCATTAGAATCAGGAAAGGACCAGATGGTCCGTGGAGGACGGCATTTTAACGAGGGAATGAGTGGTCAAAAAGTCATGTGGAAAATAAAGGAAAGGAGAAAGCTCTTTTCCTTTATAAACATAATTATGTACACTCACACACAGACACAGAGCTCTACGATAGGAAGAAGTTAAGTTTCTAGAGCAGAGTCAAGTTCTACACTGCATTCAGAATTAAGAATAAGCTACTCACATGGCATACATACGGCCTGGAAGCTTCCAACATAATTGGGTCCTAGTTCAAAAATGGTGGTAACATTTGAAGGAGGTAAAACTTCTTCCAGGAAGTGTGTGGGTCCTAGGCGCCAAACTAATGAAGCAATTTGACGTTGGGCAGGTGGAGTGCCAATGTAGGCATACACCGTGCTCACGACTGGTGGATTTGCAGAACCGGAACCTCCGGGAGTACTGTGAACATAATGAAGCTATACGAAAACAAAACAAGGGTGTGAGATGTGACCAATAAAACCCCCCAAAACCACTTTCACCGGGAAAATAACTCTTATTGTACACAATTTCCTTATTCCAAGGTCACACAAATTTACAAATAAGTAAAACTGCAGGCCAGGAATCTGGAACCCATAGTATAACCTGGTCACCTGATCCAGGAGTAGGACATTGATTCTCCAACGTGCTAGTGGAGAAACACCATCTCATGCCAGAAGTGGCAACAATCAATACTGCCATTGCCTGGTTGGTCTGCATATCCATTTTGCACTGTGTCACTGAAAACGTAGGGGCGACAGGGAAAGAAGACAGCTTTCCACTGTGGAATTTAAGTTGTCTTGAGATTAGTCGTTCTCTTCAAGGTGACAATAATACTGGCAGTTGTTAAACAAAACGGAAGTAAAATGATTTATACTAGGTAACGGTACTAAAAGCAAACTGAAAGTTGGCATTCTACATTACAAACAGAAATAAAACAAATCTGACTGCCACTGAGTCGATGAGGACACTTAGTGACCCCATAGAACAGACACCCCTTGGGTTTCTGCGAGTGTAACTCTGTCCAGAAAGAGCCAGCTTCGTCTTTCTCTGGCAGCTGAATGCACAGCATCCTGGACCACCAGGGACCCTGAAGAGGAAGCGTAGGATCTGAAATCTATATATTCATTATGATATTGATACACGCATTTTCATCTCACTATCAAATAGTCACCACTGTTCACTGACATTCTCATATTTGAACTTACATTGCCGGGTGCTTACTGACAAGATGCCCAAGTTATCATTCAATACATTTACTATAAATGCATAGTTAGTTAGAGTACAAGAAGAAAGAAATTCAAGTTGCTTCTTGAGGGGTTTTTAGCCACTTGACGGAATGAAGGCACTCCATGGATTACGCAGTGTTAACATCATCTCAGCGTCGGGACCACAGTTCCTTGTGATGTTAATAGTTAGCCTTTGAAGGACAAAATGTGACCTCAAGCCACTGCACGAAAACTAGTGACAATGTAACTATCTGCATAGTGACAATGGCGATGACGTACATAGTAACAATAAAACCCCTGCTCCTCGACTCTAGAATTTGAGGACATTTTTATTATCAGCATTATAAAAAATAAGCAAGGGTGACCTATTAAGATAATCTACAAACCTAGTTACAATCATATCATGCAGACAGAAAACATGAGCCATTCCCACTATGTGCACTTTCGGGTTGATCGCATGAAAACATGCCACACGGGACAACATGGACAGCGAGAGGGAAGTGGGTTTACAGTTGCTGCTGATTGCAGTGGTTGCTTTTTTCTTTCAGTTTTTTTCATGCAAAAGTTGCCCTTGTTATTGAAGTGACAACACTATATAATGGAGACCATATTGTGGACATGAAGAAACTGAACGTTTGTCACCTAATTCTGTAGTAAGAATCACATCAATTATTCTTGGTTTTTACCTGGCTACTTCAATTCTCTTTGTCTCCTCTTTAGATTTCCATATAGCTAGCCTGGGTAATGCATCTCATCACTCGCCAGACCCCTCATTCAGTAAACAATCACTGTGTACCTGCTACCATTATCAGGGACTAAACCGGGAGATCTACAAACAAAGATGAAATGGAAACAATTCCGACTCTAAAGGAAGATAGTGTGTACTGGACTAACTATAACAACAATGAGTGATAAAATCGTGTGTTTCTCTAGGCAACCTTCAATTGGTTCCTCTCTTATGGAAAAACATTTAGCAATCTGGCTTAACTCTTGATCATTATCCATTAACTTCTTTAGTACAATGTAACTCTTCTTATGCTTTTCTAATACTTAAAAACAAAACAAAACAAAAGTGCAAACTCACTGCCATCAAGTGGATTCTGTCATAAAGACCCTCTAGCACAGAGTAGAGCTCCCCCTGTGGGTTTCTCGGATGCTCACTCTTTATGGGAGTAGAGACCCTCATCTTTCTCTGGCAGAGCAGCTGGTAGTTTTGAACAGCTGACCTTGCAGTAAAGCAGCCCAATGTGTAAACCACTATGCCATCAGGGCCCCTCCCTTTTGAACGAAGCGACATGAATTAGTCAGACACATGATTTTACCATATTGCCCAATGGGTACTATGAGGTCAAACTTAAAATTAGGTGGTGATAGTTTTAAAATGTTGCCGGTACACACCTGTGTACACACATACATGTATTCAGTACTCCACTCCCTTGTAAGGCAGGTGGAGGTTGAGCGCCGCCCGCGTGCTCACCTTCACGGTATTAACGAGCTGTCCGTCAATGTAGAGGGCGGCGGTGCTGTTTTTCAGCATGCCTTTGCTCATCACCAGAACCAGATGGTGCCACTGCCCCTCCACGATGAGCTCTCCACACCGGAAGCGAGCACAGCACGGGAGGATCTCATAAAAAGAGGATTCCTCACTGAAGTCATCAACTAAAGGGGCAAGGGTTAGGAGGAAAAAAATTATCAGCATCTTCCCGATTCAGACATTCATTTTCATCTGGGTCAGTAGGTTTTGACCTTAATGTTAAAATAAATATGTTAGTCATTAACTTCATTTATAGTAAAAAGCCAAACCTGGAACACATTTTACTTTCATCTGCTCAGAATGGTAAAATAAGATAAAGTTATAATAGACCACAAATGAAATAAGGAGACCATAAAGTTAACAACGGACCAAACAATGAGACCAGGTGATCAGAAATCACCTTTTATAGACTTCTACTCTTGCCACATGCTCTGCTCATGTGATCCCAGGGCACAATGATCTACTGCTGCTCGTCTGTGACTGCTCTGCACTGAACCAGGACTGGCAGTAGGAGGAATTGATGGTGCAAAAGAGCGATCTGTTGATTTAAGTTGTCTGCTTTGCCAAGACAACTCTGAAATGTACACATGAATATATTCCATTCCTTAACGCTGAGTAATCGCTTCTTGACTCCTACTGCCCAGGACAGGCAGTCCTCGAATTCCAAAAAAGTTCCATTCTTAAATTAATCTTTAAGTCAAATTTGCAGATTACTGCAACAGTTAGGTACAATGCTTATCTACAGTCGGTCGTCAGTCAGTCAAATGTCCGTCTAGTGTCGAGTGTAGAGTGTACCTTTCCACGCCGATCAAAGCAACACCTTCAGGTACACCAAAGCATTTTTAATACAATGATAATCATGTTTTGTTGTGATATTTTCAAGGGAGCCCCTGTTTGTTATTACAGATCATTGTATGTACCTCAAATCTTTAATGTAATTGTCTTTAATGTTGACTCCTGTGTGTTGTATGTAAGTTGTATGTAGTAGCCAAGGGACTTCCTGCATATTGCCAGAAGACATAAGGAATTATGGGTCAATAGTGGTTTAATTTTAATGTCAAGTTAACTAAATGTTAATTTTCATTTTTAAAGAAAAGTACAGCAGAAGAGAAAAGCCAGAGAGTAAACATTTATTTAAAAAACAAACTAAAAAACAGCTAATCAGCAGCTGTAGAATTTTATTTTATTTTAGCTGTAGAATTTTAAACGAACCCACTATGTTTCAGTGTAAGAACATAAAAATATACTAAATGTAAAACTCAACATGGAAAAGGAACTATACACATAAACTATTAATTTCCAGCTCTGAAAATCTATACAGTATACAGTTAAATGTCAAGATTTTATTCTAGAAAGACAATTCAAGATAGCTGTTGACAAGTAAAAATAACAACATACACAGGCAAAATCTTACTCAGGTGACCTAATATAGGTCAGCATTGAACATGCCAGACACGAAGGAGGCCCCAACAGGCCTGCAAGGCCTAGTATCACAGGCCAAGGTCCAAGGCAAAACCAGGAGCTTGCTCCCTCCTTCTCTCTCTCTCATCAGCAAATTACGAAAGTTTTAGGAGGAATGAATATGCTATTACTTATTAAAATCATGTGAAAGTTTTACTTTCTGACTCCCACTTGGACTTGAACATTTCCAAGGTTCAGGGCTGTGGCAGACTATCTAGTTAACCCAACTAATCTCTGACAACTCCTAATTACCTTGACGGTTCAATGGATTACAGACCATATTGGAAATTATATAAAAGCAGAAAATCATTGTCTTAGTCTATTAAAATCTCTGTAGGTCTACTCTTCAACTTTCCCATTAAATTCTACCTTTTCTCTAAATTCTCTATTATTTCATTTTCACTTCCCTGCTCAAATCACCCATCCCGTTTTCTTTTTCCAGATGATTGGCGTGTCTATCACATGCGGGGAATTGTTTTAGGTGGCAGGGTGGCCTACATTACAAAGACAATAACCTTGTCTGTGGGAAGCTTCCAGTTCTAGTAGGGTAGGCAGAAGAAAATAATAATAAAGTAAAATCCATGAAGTCAGGTTCAGAGACACTGCCACCTGTGCCCTCAGGTTGTGCGGCACTCACAGGGACCTAGAGGACGGAGTATGGGCGCATAGGGTTCCCGGGCTGCACTTTTTATGAGAGATCTGTTTTCCTGCAGAGTGACTGATGGGGTGACACTTGCAGCTGTTCAGTGAGCAGCTAAGCACTTAACCACTGTGCACCCAGAGGTCAGAGAAGATGAAGCAGCTCAAGAATCAAGGCCTATAACAGTGTGCAGAGGCTGGGAGGGAAGATTTCAGAAACATCAAGAAGGTTTTGATGAGTGCAACACGGTGACGCTTAGTGGAAGACGGTGCCGTTTGCATGGTGGAACTGACTGTCCGCCTGTGTTAAACTGGTGGGTCTGAGGGGTATCTATCGCTATGGGTAATAGGAAAAGAAAAAAAAAGTAGATCTTTTAAAGTAAAAATATTATAGTCTAAGTTGTTGTAGACAAACCATTCAATTGCAGATATCTGATATGTATTTGGAAATATGACGGAAATCATTGGAGGTATACATAAAAAAAATTTTAATTTCAAATTGCTAGAACATTAAAGATACCAAACCAACAGAAATTGATGAATTCTTTTCCCTAAAGAAAATGTTTAGTCGAAAGACCGAAGAAACGCAGGGCCGTGGAGGATACTAATTTTACAGAGATAGAAGAGAGAGACCTGCTGAAGGAAATCGAGGATCGGAAGATCAGAGAACCGTGACAGAACAGGAAAGCAGACTGGACATGGCAGACTGCTAAACGGAGCACGTGCTCATGATAAAGAAGAAGCCAACAGGACTGTCAGAGAGAGCAGGATGCAGGGGATAAAGTAGCACAACAAGAAACTTAAAGTAATGATCATATTGATGGCTGGCATAAAGTTAGGCAACTAGAGAGAAAAGGCAGGAAGTTTTACAATCTAACTGCGAAGCTCACTTTCATACCCTGTGAGGAACTATCAGTTTCAACTGTAACTCTAGCCATATGAAATGTGGTAGAACAAGACAACATTTTAAAAAGGATTTTTTTAAAGTGGTACATTCACATTTAAATGCTAGATTCAGAGCAAACGAAACTAGCTATGATTTATAGATCATGCTGTTTATATAATTTCAGAAGATCTTAAAGAAGATGAGTTTCAAATATAGCATGCAGAAACATAGGGTTATGGCATCAACCTTGGTTGAGTTGATGCCAACGCATTGAGGCCTCATAGCACAAGCACAAGTGCCACCTAGGGTTACGTGAGCCGTGATCTGCCGAGGAGTGGACCAGCTGGTCCTGTCTCCTGTGGATAGGCTGGTGGGTTCAAACTACCAACCTTTCAGTTGGCAGACAAACACTTAAGGGAGTTGGGGGTAGACAATAGTAGCTATCAGTGGCAACAGTAAATAACAGATCAAAGTAATTAAAACAGCATTGTCTCAAATCTTAAATTAAAAAACACCCTCTGATGACTTCTTCAAACCATGTAATAGTCTAGCTTAGCTAGTAAGAATGTAGCCCTGGTGGCACAGTGGTATTGCGTTGGGCTGCTAATCACATGGTCAGTAGTTCAAAGCCACTAACTGATCCTTGGGAGAAAGATGGGGCTTCCTACTCCCATAAAGAATTACAGTCTCTAAGGGTTAGGATTGGGGCAGGGAGGTGGAGGGTGGGGGGGAAGAGCTACACTCTCAGAGACTCACAAGGGAAGGTCTACCATGTCTGCTGGGGTCACTATGAGTCAGAATGGATTTGATGGCAGTAGTAGTAAAAAAATGTCTGTCTGGATGATCACCCTCTTTTCAGAACTACCCAAAGCACCTTTATAAAAGTGATTGGCCTTTCACATGTGTTTTGCTAATCGTACACTACCCCCTCTTTCCTAAAATGTTTTCATAAGCATGCTATGCTACTGTTTTATAAGTTGCTGTAAAAAAATTAGCATAGCATGCTTATGAAAATACTTTGGGAGTAAGGCACAGTTGGAAAAGAAGTATAGCATGTGGTTGTTTATTTAAAAATAGAGTCTTTGGGAGCAAATTAACATGAGCGACTGAAAAGACTAGACGCCTTAGGTGCAGGGAGTGGGGGAAGAAAAACTCAGAGGCAGGGAAAGGATAGTTACACAATTTGGGGAATGTAATCAAGGTCACTAGCTGGTACATGCTGGACTGTGCATGTTTTGCTCCTGTGTCTCGTCTCAACAAAAACAAAATAAACACATTTTTTTAAAACAAAAGGGAAAAAAAATATTACGTGCATATTCACCACGGGTTAGAATTGACTCTGTAACAGTGAGTTTGGTTTGAGTACAGGATAGTATGCAAGTTAAATTAGCTCAACACAATCCAGAGCCAATACAAATCCTTATCAAAATGCGTCAAACATGCAAGCTGCTTTCCTAGCAAAGGTGGGACTTTCTGGCAAGTCGAAGTAAACCCTAATACTAAGCTTTTCCCCCAGTGTGTTACTTCTAAGTCTCCTATGGAAGTGGCTTAGAATTCACTAGTATAGAATATTAAGGTTTCATAAAACCTGTTCTATGGATAAGACTTACAAGCTAGACCTTAAAACGAATGTAGAATTTTAATTCTAGAACAAAAGGACAAATACTGACCATAGTTTTGGAGCAGTTCCTCTTTAGTGGAAACAATCAGCGACCGGTCTTTTGCTGACAGAACGATAGCCAGACAGACATAATGCTGCTCCGAAGAATTTGCTCGGCGCACTAGAGTGAGGAGTCTGACAGGGTGGTTATTTGGAGGAGAACTGAAATGTTCAACGCAAAACCAGCTGGAATAGCTTAAGCCAGAGGGAGGAGGGAAGAATCTTTCACCTACAATGAAAAGAGAACAGCAGTAATCAAAGAGTTCGTGTTCAATCATATTTGCATTCAAAATAAAAGGAAGGCAACACAAACATGTAAGTTCTAGATAAAAATACAATTCACTGAAGAGAAGAATCTCTTATGTAAACACAAAAGTAATATTTACCGGAACCAATGCCGCTGACTACCGCCCCATCAGTGAGACCTGTTGTGACAGCATTATTGGTAGGAGCATTATGCGGGGCCAAACTAGGCAGAAACAGGCAGCTATTGAAGAAGAGACATTGTACCCATCAGTATTTAAATGCTTAGAACAGTGAAATAAACTGCCATTATGTAATGACAACCAAGAGTAGAAAATAATTACAGAATAACTGGAGATTCCTAGCAACACACACACACACACATATATAATGAGGCTATTAAATGACATACGGTAACAATCTCCAACAGTATCATTTTAAAAACTGTTTTAAGAAATTATGGGTAAAAATTTACATATCATAAAACATATAAATGGAAGTGTATAGATCCCAATCAAGATATTACACCAATTCAATTACCACTATCAAAATCCCCTCTTCCCTCTTCTACCTGGTCCTGCTGCTATGATTAGTGCTGTGCATTCCCAAATAATACATATCAATCTACTATTGGATAACTAGCCATGTAACAATGGTCTTAAAGACAATGTACCGTTTTGGATGAATGTATGCAAGCCATGAGTAACGAAGTAGATAGACAGCAATCGGTGCTATTAGCATTTGGCCTTCTTTTTCAGTGGACTCCCCAAACTTCCTAGTCCTCTTTCACCTCTCGCAGCTCTAGCTGCCATTTGAAATGCTTCATTTACTCACTTGCAGTGATAGACACTGAGTGGTTGTAATATCCAAGACGATGTTATGCTAGGTGATTTGAGGAACAAGATGATACATAATACCAAGCCACAAGGCTTTCACACTAATTTAAAATCATATGTTATCTAGAAATTGGTATTTCCTTTATGAAGAGTTGGCAAGCTTTTTCTGTGAAGGGCCAAATGGTAAATACTCCAGAGTTTCCAGACCAGTCTCTGTCATGACTACTCAACACTCCACTGCGGTCTCGGAGCAGCCATCGACAATACATGCTGAATGTGTATGGCCGGGTCCCAATAAAACTTTATTTGCAAGAACAGGCAAAGAGCCAGATTTTGCTTGCAGTTTGCTGACCCTTTGAGTAGGAATAGATTTGCTGACAGTGGGTTGGGTTTGGTACTTTATTAATCTATTTACTATAATTAATGATTCAAGAGAATTAAATCTAGACATCTTGAGATAACACGCTCCATCTTTTTAAAAATATAGTGCAATAGAGTAGAACACATAGTATAATACATTTAAATCAAGTATATTTAAAACCAAAGACCAAATACTTCTCAAAGCTACATTAAGCGGCATAAAATAGTACAATAAGGCGGAGCTATGTTGCAAATTCCTTACCCACCCTTCAAGGGATGTGTCAAATTCAACAAAAGCCGGAGTAACCGATGACCCATGGAGTCTGATGTCATGCGGGGTTGTCATGGAGACCAGACATTTCACCCTGGTCAGGGGCACAGTACTTCCTTCCACAGATTTTACCAGGCTCTTGCTGATTCGGTAATGGTTATCTTCATGGAAGCTGAAAACATTATCGGAGCCCAGACCCTCCAGAGACGTGATCATACTACCTGCAAACCAAAGAAAACCTCTTGGGGAAAATGTCACGTGGACGTTTTTTCAGTAATGACCTTACAAGGTGGATACGTTTTTTTTAAAGTATGCTTTCTTTTCACACCCAGTTTCTTTTGTACATTTCAATGCCAAAATCACCACCAATATTTATACTTCAATTTTCAATTTAAACCGCATGCGTCCCGGTTTACCTGTTTACCAAAGTCCTATATAGACTGCAGACATGTTGGGAAATTATATAGAGAGCACAAATAGGAATAAAAGTTATCAATAACTACTACACAATCCACTGTTATATTTTAATTATAAATCTCACTGTATAATTTTACAAAGCAGGCTACACTTCTAATTCATAAGCTATTTTTCTGGGCGGATACAGCAAAATAGTCTGGAAGCATTAAAATGAGAAGGAAACCGGTCATGTTTTAAACTCAAAGCACGAGGGGAAAAGAGCAGAAATGTCCTTGATTTTTATTGTTTCTGAGGAACTGTTAAGGATAAACAGTGATCGCATAAGCAGTCATGAAATTCACAGCTTCCTGCATGAGTGGGTTTCAAAAGTTAGCAGAAAAATTCCATTACCTTTCAGTTCCAGGAACATTTTAAAGGGCCCTTATATCAAGAATGGAAATATGAAATTCAACCGAGCTTTCCCTTTTTCTCAGGAATAGGAGATCGGCTGTAACTATATTGATCTCTTAGCTGCACTGCATGATGTCCACCACTCCCTCTCCTGCAGGCTCCCCCACTGCTCTCTGCTGTGCTCGTACATCCAACCTTCTGCAGCCTTCCTCGTGTCAAGACATCCAGGTTCTTGAGACGTCCTTGGGAGCAACAGCATTCCTCCGTACATATCGCAGCTTCTGTTCACTTCTTCTTATCCCCACAGCCATCAACTGTCGTCCATGCGTCTTTTTTCCCAGTAGCTTCTTACTGTGTCCTAACATCTTTCTTATCCAGCTTATCCTCATTTCTCTACGGATGTGTTCCTAAAACTCAAATACTAAAACTACTCCCCTATTTGAAAACTAGCTCACACTCTAAAACTGAGGCCAAATTTCAGTCCTTTATGATCTGATAGTATCGTTTCTTCAGCTTTACTTCCTAACCTTTCTACAGATAAACGTCTGCACGCACCCACACTCACATGTTCAGGATGCCGCACCTTCCTTGTCCCTCCAGACCTTGTGCATGGATTACTATGCACGCATGATCCTCTTTTCTATTCTACCTTTGATGCTTCTATTGACCTAGGTGGGAAATCGCCATGATTCCCCTAGCCAGCTTATCTGAGAGGGCTTCAAAAAGTTCACCAGAAAATAAAATGGAAAAGTAATGGAAACAAGTATTCATAATGGGATTTTCCACCAACTTTTTGAAGTCTCCTTCCTCCCTTTTTGTGGCAATTGGCATGTGACTATGAGTCACCCTCCGGAACTGAGCAGAAGTGGCTCATTGAGTTGCCAGGGCGATGGGTTTCCACGTATGGAAGCTGATGGCTGTCTTTGCTCCCGTCGTGTTGGAAACACGGATCTTTCGGTTAGCAGCAGAGTGCTGGAACCACCGCATCATTAGGACTCCTGATTTGTCCATTTGCACTCACTGCCACTGAGTCCATCCCAACTCATGGCACCCCTTTGGAACAGGGTAGAACTACCCTGTGGGTTTCTGAGACTGTAACTCTTTACGGGAGTGGAAAGCCTTGTCTTTCCCCCAGAGCAGCTGCTCATTTCTCACTGCTGACCTTGTGGTTAGCAGCCTAATGAGTACCCAGTACATCACCCGGGCTCTTTAGTGGGAGCAAATGATGGCAAGAGCAGTTCTACTTTGTTTTTGTTGCTAGCAGTGATGCCACGCATCAGTGTCCGAAATATAAGATACATCAGTAAATTCTGGTTGAAAAACCAATCATTGAAGTATGGATGGCATGCTATTTACTTATGCTCTTAAAACTCCCTCACTGAAAAGGGAAACTGATCTCAATGATCAATGTATAACAACCCTTCCCCCATGAGGGGGATGAACAACAGAAATGTGAGGGAAGGGAGACAGCAGATGGTGTAATACAGGAAAATAAAAATAATGTATCATTCACCAAGGGGACCTGAGGGTGGGAGGGTGAGGGGTGGGTGGGCGAATGGAGAGAAAAAAGAGGTGCTAATCCCAAGGGCTGAAGTAGTAAGAAAATGTTTTGAAAATGATGATGGTAACATATATACAAATGTGCTTGATTTAATGGATGTATGGGTTGTTGTAAGAGCTGTGAGAGCCCCCCAAAAATGATTTATATAAAAAAATATACACACACTCACTGCCATCGAGCCAGTGCTGACTCACTGCGACCCCCTGTGGGTTTCTGAGACTGTCACTGTTTATGGGTGTAGAAAACTCAGTCTTTTCCCCATTTACTTGTGCTAGGATAACATTTAAAAAAAAAAAGAAAATCCTGTGTGTAAAGATAATGCTCAAAAGGGCCAATTAGAAGACTTATTAGTGGTGTTCATTACTACTACTACTGTGTTGATGTAGGAGAAAGCTGAGTGTCTCCTGGAGACCCACTATCCAGGGCCGCTCTGAGTCGGAAGGCACTTGGTGGCAGAGAAGGAAGGAGTATAATATAGGTACTGCTAACAGAAAAATTAAGTTTTAAAGAATTATAGTTGCCAAAGAGACCATCAATAGAAATTATGGACCCACCCAGTGCATAACTTCCTCAATGCACACGTTCTTATTGTTATATAAATAATCTATAGGTATAGTAAGGGACACTAGACTGAGGCACAAGAAGTCTAGATGTTAGAACCAGTCTCTTTGACCAAGTCACTTACCCTTTTGAGTTTAAAAGTTATTACACCTGCAAGGTAAAGGGATTCAACAAGAGGAATTTTCCACTTGGCTATATGCGTTGGGCACATAATGTCACCATTCGAGCCACCAGCCACTCCATGGGGGAAAGGTGGGGCTTTCTACTCCCATAAGGATTTAAAGCTTCAGACACACAGAGCAGCAGTTCTACCCTGTCCTATAGGATGGTTATGAGTCAGAATCCACTCTGTGGCAGTGTGTTCCGCTTAAGGTTTCTAGATTTTTACTATTTTATAGTATTATTCTAAACTCTCTTAAAATCTTGTCACATTTACACAAGAAGAGAGACTGAAGGTGTTTTCAGCAAAGAATGATACACAGGAGACAGGCATTTAGGATCATTCCCCATTTGACGTCCAGGTACAAAACAAGCCAACAACACGCGCTTCAGAGGAAAACTTACTTCTCATCTCTGGCTCATAACTCAGTGAGCTTGGTTTGTGGACTCTGTATTGTTTCAGTAGGTTTTTGTCCCAGGCACCACAATTTAAAGGACTTGCCAATCGCAAAAATTCCCTAGAAGCAAATTAAAGTTAATACTTGAATGAGAGCAATATATAATTATAAAAACCAAAGCTAAAATGAGGCAATTAATTATAACAGACTAACTTAACTACCAAATGCAAGCATTCATCATAAAAGAGCATGCAGTATTAATTAGTTAAGCTGTAATTTATCTATATCAGTGGTTCTCAACCTTCCTAATGCTGTGGCCCTTTAATACAGTTCCTCATGTTGTGGTGACCCTCAACCATAAAATTATTTTCATTGCTACTTCGTAATCGTAATTTTACTACTGTCATGAATTGTAATATAAATATCTGATATGCAGGATGTATTTGCATTGTTACAAATTGAACATCATTAAAGCATAGTGATTATGGCATTGATTAAAGCATTTACCCAGTAATTATAACTCATGAAGTGTCATTTTACCTCCAATACTGCTTTTAACAGAATAGCTGCTTTCAACACAGCAGCTGCTCTCTACACGTGACTGGTCCACATAAGTACATTATGGTGCCAACTTTGTCACATCGACCTGTATTTGTACAAGGTGTACGTGATGGAGCTGGCGTGATGATGCAACGATGGCTACTTGTATGTGGGCGTATTTGCATCTGGGTAGACCGGCCTGGAGATGGATAGAGGAGCCATGTCTTGGTTCCTAAGACCATCGGAAATATGTGTTTTATAACAGTCTTAAGTGACCCTGTGAAAGGGTCATTCAACCCCCAAAGGATTCATGACCCACAGGTTGAGAACCGCCGGTCTACATAACACAAACTACCCATTTTTCTAAACTTTTTTGCAGAACTTAATAAAAATGGATCCTACCAGAAGTGTCTCATACTCAATATATCTAACAGTAAACTTTCCCTTTTATATCCCAACTGCCTTTTATCTTGTGTTCTGCATGTCCCTGAAATGCAACTTGATCTCTTTCAGTTTCTTTATTCAGGCAATCAGAAAATCCTGCTGATTCTATACCGTAAGTGTATCTTGAATCTGCCCTCTTCTCCCCATCCCTGCTGCTACTACTCAGATCCAGCTGATTTCCTAATGCTGAGACAGTGCCGGAACTGCCCCTAGGGTGCTAGTGTTGTCTTCTCACAGTGCATTCTTCAATACGCACACTACCTTTCCAAATTCACAATCTACTCCGTGTCATTGCTTAACACGCTTCAATGGCTGTCCCCTTCTCGGGACGGAAACTCAAGTCCCTAAAATGTCTAGCTTACAGTATGACGCCTGAGACAATTTCGTTTGTAGATGAGATGATGAGCCTGTGGTATAGTGTAACATAACATATCAGGCTGCAAACTCGTAAGGTAAGCAGTTTGAAACCCCAGTCACTCCTTGGGGGAAAGATGAGGCTTTCTACTCCTGTCAAGGGTTATAGGAAATCCACAGGGGCAGTTCCACCCTGTTCTATAGGGTCGCTATGAGTTCAAATCAATCCAATGGCAGTGAGTTTGGTTTTGGGTACCGATGAAATTTGTTTGGTGAGGCAATTTCAGGGAACATGGTGGCGGGGAGTGTGTGTGGGGGGGGTGGGGGGGGCGGATCTTTACCAGTAGCAAAACCATGCCAGACACATAAAACACCATTTCTCTTGCACTAAAAAAACGGGTTATATAAAAATACCTTTCTTGAGTGGATAAACAAAGCATGAAAACTACTACTCAGTAATAAAAAGAAACAAAGTATAGCTATATACAACTTGGCATGCTGATTAAAAAAAAGCGAATCTCAAAAGGCTCCATCCCTATGATTTTTTTTCTATATAACACAGTAACAAAAATATAGGCAGAAAACACATTAGTTTCCAGAAGTTAGAAAAGTAGGTATGAGGACAAAGACTAGGGGGAATTTTGTAATATCTTGATTTGGGGGGAGGCTACACAAATCTACGCATGTGGTAAAATAACAATGAGTTGTAGGCAAATATCAAACCATTGCCCTAAATTTTGTTTTTATATTCTACTCAGGTTACATAAGACTTTAACACCTGAGATAAGTGTGTGAAGGTATACAATCCTGCCTTTGCAACCCTCCATGTCTCTAACTACATCAAAATTAACTTTCAAAAGCATTTCTGAGGCATGCCTACATATACAAAGTCCTTCACACCTTAGGTCACAGAAGTACACATTGAACGGGACTTTACTTTCAGACGAGAGGGCCTATTCAAGTGGAAGAAACACCTTCTTTCACTAGTCACTACATTTATTTGTCCTAAGTACTACACTTTGAGCATGTTGCCCATTTTTTAATTGTTGACCTGTTTTGGTTTTGCCCCAAGCTAACTGAACAAGTGCTCATCAAAGCAAGAACTCACGCACCACGAAGACTCTAGTAACAGTCAATACTGATTGCGAGCTCATGTGAAGAGAAAACTTACTGACCTCAGCACCATGGGCTCCAGGGCCTGAGAGGCTAACCGCTCAAACATGCGCTGGAGGGGAGGGTGCAGAGAGTGGTCCTCATCCGCCAGCGCAGCGCTGCATCTCTGCAGCAGCCGTGCATGAAGGCCGGCTTCACACATGACTTGCTGGTTTCTTTCTGTGTGCACCAGGGATTGTAGAATATTTGCCACGGCAAGTTGAAGGTCCAGAGCATGCTAGAGCAACAAGAAAACTGTATCAGAAACCCATACTCACCGCCATCCACCTGATTCTGGCTCACTGGCAACCCTATAGGACAGGGTAGAACTGCCCCGGGGACCTTTAAGACTGTAGCTTTTTACAGGAGTAGAAAGCCTCATTTTTCTCCTGCCAAGCAGCTGGTGGTTTTGAATTGCTGAATGTGTGGTTAGCAACTTAACATGTAACCAAGTATGTCACCAGGGCTCCAAAAGAAACACATCTTTTAACGTGATGTGTCTACATGCTTCACAGTAAATTCAGATAAATTAAGTAACAGACTTACAGCAACTTCAGAACCAGGGTAGGGTAAAATGCCCTATTCTCATTTTGCTAGAAGCACATCCAACTCTATTCTCTTCCAAGTCTCTACACGAGGAGGCTAAAGCAAAGTCGTCTTTTTATATGTGCGTGCAAAGGATTTTCCACGGTGGCCAACTGAGCAACTTAAAGGAGAGCAATTTTAATTGAATTGCTTTATTATGCTTCAGAGTCTGCACAAAATTCTAACAAAATCAGCCGTCCAAACTCCAGTGCATCCCAACTTGAGGGCCACAAGTCAAGACGGCGAAATAGCATGGGTGTGGCAGCTTCAGTCAGTTTCTCTCTGCATCATTTATGAACCGAGTTCCACTGCTGAGCACGATTCTAGGATCGGAAGTAACCATTGTGGCTGTGTTTGTCAGAATTCTGAAATTCTAAATCCTGATCTATGACTCCTGAGAGTTGTGATTCAAATTGCACCATCTCAGATTTGTTAGGTCCTTAACCTACTTCCGTGTGACGGAATGGCTGTGCATCACTTTTTGTCTGGCTTGTCCCAACTCCTTACTCCTGCGCGCACACTCACTGCCAACAGGCACAAACCAAGAGCTCTGCGCTTACTTCTGGCTGCGTCAGTGACCCAACGGAGGCCAGGAGGTCCAGCATCGCCAGCATGGCTCCAGGATGGATGATGACGGCATCGGCGCTCTGGAGAGATGAGGTGGCCACATGTAGTTTCAGGTCAGCCACATTTTTAGCAGGGTGAACAGGAGGGGTTGAAACAGAATGATATGCATGCCTATTTTAAAGAGAGAGAGAAAGAGCAACTGGTATTTAATTTCAACAACATTCTCTCTGTTCATTTTCTTCATCTCCTTTCACTGATAACCAAAAGGCCTTTTGCATTTAGGATGGATTACAAAATTTCATAAGATTGTGATATGAAAAAAGCAATACATTATTATCAATTCTCCTACGTCGTTCTATACGGCCACCTTTTATTGTTTGGATTGTTTCATGAAATGCCAAAACCCTGGAGCTGACGAAGTAAAGACTAGATGTGACTCACAGTGACTCAAAATTCCAAGGAGGTGACAGTTTTGATATGCAGCTGAAAGTTACATTAAGTCCCTCAAGGATTTTTATTTTAACTTTTAAAACAGGTACCTATGTGTTTTTAACCTCTTCTTACCCACTGTGTAGCTTATTCAAGACCTAACACAAGATCAAGGTGGACTAAGTCAACTGAATCAGGGTTGGCTACCTGAGAAAGATGCTAAACTACACGGAGTTTTCCTTTAGTTCTATTTAAGAATGAATTCAACCTTTTCCATCCACCCCTCCTGACCACTGAACGTACACTCATCATCTCTTGACAACTCAGAAGGTAGATGCACAGCAACAAGTCTCTGCGTAGGAAGGCCTGCCACATTCCTTCCCCTACACGCCCCTTCTTGTCAATGAGCTCTGCTTTCTACTCTGAACAGGTTTCCTTCGATTCATGAGTTGTGCACAGTTTGCATTTTGGCTCCAGGAAACAGATGCTGCCGGCTTCAGCCTATGGGAGATCTTTGTTCCAGGAGTCGGTCTCAGCATAATCTGTCTAATGCTGACAGCAGTGTCGTCTCAGCACTCTGGCACAAGAGCAGCTTTGAAAACAGATGCTTTACATCAGTGATTCAGTAGCAGAGAATTGGCATGGTCATGCTTTTGAAGAAAGCGCCACTCTCTTTTACATGTAAATTCTAGGAAAGTATTCAACTTCATTTAGAAAATAACCCACAGGATCCCCAATTTAAAATATGGTGCATCATCAAATGGCTCCTGCCTTTTATTTCTTTAATGCCTGTTTTTCATTCAGAAAGTTTTCATTTTGAAATTCATTGAAAGAGAGGTTATAAAGGCTTCCTATTACTACTACCAATAGGCAAGACTTCCACTCTGAAGCCCCAGGCTACAAAAAGTTTATCTGTCCTCTGTGGGAATTCCAAACCACGAAATTAGGAAATTCTATGAAGGTGTTCGGGATATATGCAAAAAATCTGATAAAAAGCATAGATTCTAAGTCTACATTTTAGTTACAGACTTTTGGAAATTGCTGCTGAGTTGACAGATTTGATCCAGATATGAATGGAAATTATGGACACTCCCAAGAAGACACAGTTGTAAATGGTTTAGCTATTTTATATTTTATCCCTGTCTGTCTATGGAAACCAAATGCTTCATGAATGAACAACTATTAACCTTTTAATTTCCCTCATGTAAGAAAATTATGTTCTGAAGAAATTACATTAGTTCTCAAACTAAAAAAGCATTGCAATCATAGAAATAGAACACATGGTGTTCATGAATAAAATTTAAGTCTATTAAAACAGATGTTTCAGAATGTAAATTTTTAATCAATCACTTTGGCTATATTACCAAAGGGATCACCATTTGCTATGTTTAATAATTATGGTTAAATTTATTTATTAACTTATAAGCAATACCTATTCATTTTTCGAGATAAACATTACACACATTTTGTTAACTTTGAAATTGCAGCTACCTTTCAAAGTTAACAGGAAGCACAATTTACCATTTAAGTATAAAGTATATATGTTTAAGACTCATCTGCCATTTTTGAGAATATGAGTATTTTAATTCAGAATTTGCTCTCCTTACCTATCTTATCTGAATAACATACTCATTCACTACGTCAGTCACTTATTCACTTCCATCGGTTGGACTCTGCCTCACAGTGACCCAGTAGGACAGAGCAGCACTGTCGCCTGCCGGTCTCCACGACTGTAACTCTGGAGGGAAGAGAAAGCCTCCTCTCCGTTCTGAATGAAAACCAGAACCTGCTACGTTTTTTGCTTTTCTATACGCATTCTGGAGTGTCCTTAATTATCACTCGTGCTTTATGTCCCTTTCCTCCAAGTCTGTCTGAATCAGCAGACTCTGTTCCATTATTCATTTTGAATAATAGTAAACAAACAGATGAGATTAGTTTTCTAAGTATGAAGTTTTATTCTAGTTAAAATAATTAGAGAATAACTCGTGTTTTAGAGATCAGATCAGTATCAATCAAAGCTCATTTTCTTAATATATAAATACTTGAGGGAACCCTGATGATGCTGTCCAAGCAAGCAGGTCAGCACTGGACTGCTAGTCCAAAGGTCGATGGTTCAAAGCCAGCAGCCACTCTTCGGAAGAAAGATGAAGTTATGTGCGCCTGTAAAGATTTATAAAACCTCAGAAACTCTATGCAAGGTCACTGGAAGTTGGAATCCACTAGCTGGTCGTGGATATATAAACATGTGTATATATTAGTAATTACAGTTATGTTTAATAATAACTTCTTATACATATTATCTATATCATGCCAGTGTTTACCTTTGCCATTAACAACAAAAACATTGTTACAGAAAAAAGAGTCTATGTTAACTCATTGAGAGAGGCTTTAGAAATAGTGTAATTACAATTCTAATCTCAAACTTGCTATAGTTGTACTTGGAAAATGAAAATATTGTTTTTGGTGGCAGCTCGTAGTTTTTATCACCAAGACAACTGTATGTAACCTGACTTGAATGGCAACCCGAAGATGTCAACATTGATCTTGTTAACACTAAGCTCCTCCTCCTCAGGGTAACAGCATCATGAAGACTGAAGACAGGTTCCCATGGATTAAGTACTAAGCATGACAGTTCACACACAGGCTGTCTCCTCTTAAGTTAAAGGCCAAGCCATCTTTAGGTGTCCCTCTATTGTAAATGATGACAAAATGCTTTTGATTTATGGTCATATAGAACTCGTGAGGAATGCAAGTAATAAAATGTATTTCTTTTGTCAATTTACCATTTAAATAAACAGTGATTCCTGATGGATTTTTTTTCTTTCACTCTTTTCTTCTTTTGCTGTGTTTTTTAATTTGAGTTTCTACAGAAAGTATTTTATGGTTCTGTGTATTGTTTAAAATTTTCTAGATCTACATTTGTAAAATTTATCAATTTTCAAACCTTAGCCATTTATGATAGGATCATTGTATTTTGAAATTGTGGGGGATTTTTAATATCTAAAACTATTTAGAAATTCAAACCATTTCTCTAACATTCACTTGCTCTTTCGGACAGTAAACACAGATGACTGAAATTGCTCTAGCTAGCAGTTTCCTGAATTAAGGACAAGTGTTCTGTGTAAAGAATTAAGAAATGGCAGGCTTACAACACAAATATATTGGACTCAAAATTTGTTCAAAATATTTGGAATTATGACTGGACTCCTTGGATGAAAATGAGCTGTAAATCATAATGTACATTTAAGAGAAAATGGAAAATAGAAGTCTTTGCATAAAACTGATGAACCCTAGCACTAAAATGTACTATAATAAGGAATCTGTAACAAATCCTTTTGACCCAAATTCTCTTTACAACTAAATTAAAGTCTTAAGATCAGTACAAGAGACCTAATAAATGACAATATAATCAACCCCATGTTCATTTTAAAAAGCCACACTGGAATAACCTTAATATAGACATTAGGAATTATACCTGATTATGAATGAAATGGGAAGTTGTTGTTTGGGGGGCCAGCGGCACCGAGCCCGATCGTTCAATGTACTGGTTGTAAATGGAATGCTAAGTCTGTCATAATCTTATCAAGTTTAGTCTTACAAATCGACGGCTGGTTCTTTACATTCCCAAACTTTAGTCAAGAGACACACTGGTTCAGCTAGAAGACAGCTGCCTGCAGAACCAGAGAATAAAGAGCTGGGATAGGTTTTCACACTCTGTTCAACGTTGAATGTTGACAGCATTATGTTTCAACTGGTTGAACTAGTTGAGAAAGTGCTCATTTTCTTGCCACACTCTCATGTTCCTGCTGGAGCCATGTTAGAAAAAAGAAAAAGAAGTCTCTCTCTAAAGGCATGAAGCCCTCTCATCAGGTTTTTTCAAATAAAAGATAGGTTTGGCTTTTTGCACAAATGTGTATACTAGTCTGAATAATAGTTGGCTAACAAGATTCTGCGTGACTTTCTTATCTTTACATCATCAAGCCAGTTTATACTCACAAATATACTCCAGAGAAAGTTGACATGTTTAAAACCTGACAAATAAATAGAAAGCAAAAAGGGAGGGACTGCAGTTATGAAAACCCAACCACACTCACGCATAATTAAGTGCAGGGACAAAAGGAAACCACACAGATAAAGAGGGACTTCTCTTATAAAGTCAGTACCTTTTCCTGGACAAAGCTGGCGTTCCCCAAGGAGAGGGGAGAGAAGACTCACTTGTCAGGCAAGGAGGGATCTGTTCAGCACGACTACAGATGACAAAACAGACAAGGGGGTTTGGAGAGGTTAGAAGAGAACACTCGGCTAGCAGTTGGTTAGTTTCACAAGAAATCTTGGTACAAGTTTCAGAAGGAACATCCTCCATACTCAGCAGGAACGAGGCACAAGACTCCACCACATGTACCGAGTGAAACAGAAAGCATGCTCAGGGCACATACTTATTCCGTTGACGTTGGCTCGACTAAAACCAAAACCAATACCAATTTCACTGCTCCACTGCCTCAGTGCATTTCCCAGACTGTAACTCTTGATGCGAGTGGGAAGCCACACCTTTCTCCTAAGGAGTGGCTGGGGGCTTTGAAGGCTGACTTTGTAGCTTGCAGTGCAACCCACTGTGTTTCCTGGGCTCCAGTGTTTGACTGAAGAAACTAAAAAGCAGGTACACTCGCCATTATCAAACCAAACCAGACTCACTACTGTGGAGTCCATGCAGATGCAGGGCAACCCTGCAAGACAGCGTAGAACTATCCCTCTGAGTTTCTGATACTGCAACTTTACAGGAATCGAAGGCCATCTTTCCCCACAGAGCTACTGGTGTTTTTGCACTGCTGACCTTGCTGTTGGCCGCCCAGCGTTTAACCACTATGCCGCCAGGGCTCCTGATACTATGATAAAGGGCAGAGGAAGGGTAAAGCAAAAGAAAAAAAGATTGCACCTGGGCAGCTCTCAAATCTAAATAACGTCTCCCTAGAACACTGCACTACGCCATGCTTTTTGGTTTTTGCTTTACCCTAAAAGAAAAGGAATGAATTAAAATTTCTCCTGTAATTCATGATGTTCTTATCTAAATAGTCATGACAGGGAAATGCTGTTAAGGACAAAGCAATATCAAGGGATCTAACGCCTCTTAGAAGCTCCATCGAATGAACTTCCTTGGTTAATTTACAGGGATCATATAGAAACAGTGAACTAATTTGACACATTAAAAAAGTACAGTCATGATAAAAGAGAATTATAAGAACAGGCAAATTGGCAGTGTGATCCCTCTTAATGTTCCTGTCAATGTGAGAGACAGTTTCAATAATGAAATGATTTCAGTAAAATACCTTTCCCATGATCTCCCTTGGAGGCCTGGCCATCACCGATCATAGAATCGGTCACAGCAGGATTGTCTACTCATGTGTCCTTATTCAAGCTAATGGATGTCGGGAGCAGAACGGAATCCTAATGCCTAGGATGACAACTGTTCTTTTCTATGAAGGCTATTAAGGCTTTGTTTGTTGAAGGAATGAGTAAAGGACAGGAAAGACGGGTGGACTCTTGCACTTTTGATGCCTCTTAGGGAGCTACAACCTTCTGCGGGGCTGATGAAAGGTGCTGCGTGGCAGGGTTATCTATCATCCATCCTGACCTACTGATAATCATACCCACGTTCTCTTGATGATCATAACTGGCAAGTCCAGATGCATCTAACATCTTTGGGGGAAAACGTGGGAAACAAGAGCATGATCACCCCCATAATGAGGCTACATTTCATAGCATCTGCTGTGTCAAGTGCTGTCCGAGTCAGACGAGCCTGCAGGTGGGAAGACGCACAGGCTTTGCACGGGGAGCTCTCCGCCCGGGAGAAGAACAGCTACCATGACAATGACACACCTCACTGAGGCAACTGGGAGAAGAGATTCACCGGTTTTCATTTTCGTTCTAATTCAACTTGCAATCCAAGCCTTAGGGCTGGAGTTGTGCACAGCCCACCTGTGGATGCAGGGCTGGGCCAAGCCGTACCTGTCAAAGGAATCGGTGGCCACTTTGTAGAGATAGATCAGGAGTTTGCTGCAGTGCCGGAGGGTGGGGGAGACCGAGTCCGCGGCAAGCACGTCCTCCTCGAGGAGTCTTTCAAATGGCTGCGTGTTTGAGGGGAAGACATTCATGGGGCTGATTTTCCTTAAGTCTGAGAAGCAGCCAAGAAAGCGAACGGCATCTGCCAACTTCTCGTACTGAATCTCGGTCTTGAAGAAATGCGAGTTGGCCGGCTCGTAGCGCATGGCCGCAGTCAACGTGCAGAACACAGTGTGCAGAAGTTCAAACACCTGATTCTGGTTCACTTTCTCCCAGCCATTCTTGGGGGGCGAGCTCAGCGATCTCTCCATGGCGACCAGCAGCGATGTGACATACACAAAGCCGCCCACCTTCCGGAACACCGTTCTGGAGCGGCGGCTTTCTCGGAGGACCGACAGGAGGGCCTGCGGGGGACACAAACCAACGCGTCAAATACGCACCACCGCCCTGGCACATCGCAAAAAGGGCAGTCTGGGCGGATCACCCCAGGAGCAGCTCTACGAAGCATTTCAAAATATTTTGAAAAAATTTAAGTGGCATTTGAGAAGTTGATGGAAGGTAGTTTTGGGAAATGGTATCACATTGCTTTTGCTGTAAGGCTCTCGTGAAAAAAAGGAAAGCTTTCCTGATCCCTTTGCCTATATGATGTTTGAAAGTAAGTTCATTAAATATATACAATACATACTCTAGTATGATTTTACACACTCATCAAAGTTTGCATTAGAGAGAGACTATGTGGATGCGAATGAGTCGCTCCCGACATATAGTTACCCTACAGAGGGCATCCGAGGCTGTCAATCGTTACGGGAGCAGTGAGCCCCCACCCTTCCCCCAGGGAGAGCATCTAGTGGGTGTGATCAGAGGGCCTTGCCAGGAGCAAGCAGCCCCACACCCACCCAACTGCTCCACCGTGGCTCTTGGTGGGTGTGCACACTTGTGCATGTACAAATAGTGATTTACTATCTAGGAGGGAAAAGAGAGGTCGTCCGAGTACTCAAGATTTGAGGGGTTTTGAGTTACAGAAAGCTACAGGTACTGGGGGCTGGGAAGCAGGCCTGTACCCAAAAGGATGATCAGGTATTCTCCCTTGCAAAACACTGAGATGCCCCAGGGCTGAAAGCATACCCTTTCCCAGAACAGGGGGTGCTTTAAGCAACAAAACCTGAAGGCGAAATAAGTAAAATACACTTTTATAACTACCCTCAACTTTCAAAGTGATTGCATTTTAAATTCAGCTTATCACAAATAACACATAATAGAATTAGCAAATATTTCATTGGGCACATATCTACCCAGATTGTGTTTCAGGCCATCATTCGAACAGGGACATCAAAATGATCTGCCTCTACTGTAGGTGTCCATTATACTCATTTAAAACAGGAGGCAATAACATTAAGAAATGAAACTTCTCACTAATGATCACTGAAATTCAACTTAGAGGAAAATTCAAACTCAAAACCTAGTTAGTGCAAATGAGACTGGTAAACTAATTCACTGAATAAGAGTAAAAGAATCGTCGCTCGCAAAGCTAGCTCCGTCCTACTTTCTGCTGACACTGGAATAAGGAATTCCCGTGATGAGTGGCTGGGAGGGGGAGCATGCATCCTCAAGCCAGAGAGGAGTGATTCCAGTCCACAGGAGCTTTGAAGATCATCTTCAAGATATTATTTCCTTTTGTTATTATTTGGACATAATTTTTAACTTACAGGAAAACTGGAAAAAAAATAGGTTCGAAGAATTTCTAAAGATCCTTTATAAAAATTCTTCAAATATTGACTTTTTATTTGCTTGCTCTTTCACTTTCTTACCCCTATTCTCTGTATGCCGCATAACCCCTAAACGCGTCACTGGAAGGGAACACTGCCCGCTCTGTGCCCTCCCCACGACTGCTTGTGGACTGGCCCTTTGTGAGCTACAGGTTGCATGGGCTGGTTTTCAGAACCGATGGTGTTAGATCGTCAGCTCTTTCTTCCCAGTCTGCCTCAGTCTGGAAAGAGCTGAAATGTGCTGAGCACCACAAGCACACTGAAGTCTTTACTAACCGGAAGTGGTGGCTGAGCCCGGGGGCACCAGCCAGAAACGGAAGCTGGTTCTCTCACATGGAAGCAGAGGATTCTACCCATGAAAGTTTATCATCTATAACAAGGCTATCAAAATTACCTGCCCCTATTATGGAGATTAAATTAAATTAGTAGATGCCTATAAAGTGTGTAGAATAATACCTAACACATAAGAAGCAGTAATATTCGTGCTCACAATTATATGCTCACCTCCTTATCAACATGGTTAGGATCTAAAAAAAACAAAAGCCAACCTCATGCTATCGAATTGATGCCAACTCACAGTGATGCTACAGGACAGGGTAGAACTGCCCTTGAGTTTCCAAGAGTGGAAATCTTCCTGGGAGCAGAAAGCCCCACCATCTTTCTCCAACAGAGCACCCGGTGGTTTTGAACTGCTGACCTTGTACTTAGCAGCCGAAAAGGTAACCTCTACACCACCAGGGAACTCACGAGATCAGGTAATTTTGTGAATAATGAAGCAAAAATGGAGGGTGACCACATCAGATAAAAAAATTAAAGTTGAGTACATCATTACCTAACTGTCAAATAACATCATTACATAACCGCCAAGCCATGAAGAATCATGGTTCAGCCACGATGATACAACCTGCAACTTCACAGCCATCTTGCTTAGCACCTTGGTGCTCACGCCATTGTCAAACATCAATTTTAATGTGCAAAGTAATAAGGTAGTAAACATTGCACACCACTGCAACAAAGGCAAATGGTAGATAATGAGAGCGTATGTAAGTGAAGAGTAGGTATTATAATTTCTGGTACTTGGAAAAATTGTCTTCCATGTTATTACAAAGATTCTTCATGTGTGTGTGTTTGAATCTTGTAAATCATTATGGTGAGGTAGAAAGAGTAAACCCAAATCCATTGTAGTAGAGTCGATTTCACCTCACAGGGACAGCACAGGGAGAACAGAACTGCTCCACAGACCTTCCACGGCTGTCGTGCTTGCAGCAGCAAACTGCCACAGAAGTGGAGCATGGGTTCGAATGATTAACCTTTCAATTCATAATCCAGTGTTTAGCCACAGTGCTACCTGTGCTCCTTTGTTGAAAGAATATGGGATCAAAAACTACCTGAAGTTGCATAAGCATGTTGCTTATATGATCGGAACTCATGGTTTGTTGTCTGTAAATCAGGGCAATACTTATTTTCTTTCTTTTCTAAAAAAAATCATTTTATTGGGGGTTCATGCAACTCTTATCACAATACATACATACATACATTCATTGTGCCAAGCATATTTGTACATTTTTTGCCATTGTCATTCTCAAAACATTTTCTTTCTACTTGAGCCCTTGGTATCAGCTAATTTTTTCCCTCCCTCCCTCCCAAACATTTGATAATTTATAAATTATTTTTTTCATTTCTTACTCTGATCGATGTCTCTCTTCACCCATTTTTCTGTTGTCTGTCGCCCAGGGAGGAGGTTATGGTTATATGTTGATCACTGTGATTGGTTCCTCTTTTCTCCCCCCATCTTTTCCTTACACTTCTGGTATCACTACTCTCATTATTGGTCCTGAGGGGTTTATAGGTCCAAGATTCCCTGTATTTCCAGCTCTTATCTATATCAGTGTACATCCTCTAGTCTAGCTGGATTTTTAAAATAAAATTGGGATCCTGATAGTGGGGGGAGGAAGTATTGAAGAACTAGGGGAGAGTTGTATGTTTCATCGTTGCTATAGTGCACCCTGACTGGCTTGTCTCCTCCCCACGACCCTTCAGTAAGGGGATGTCCAGTTGCCTACAGATGGGCTTTGGGTCCCCACTCTGCACTCCCCCTCATTCACAATGAAAAGAATTTTTGTTCTTTGATGCCT